GAAAGTATACCAGAGAGAGAAAGACAGGAAGGGGAAGGAGGTGGAGATGATTTTTCAAACAAAGGTTACAAAACAAAGGAGAAGCGTGTGAGATGCACAGCTTACATCAAACATCACCAAACCATCAGGAAAGAGACAAAACAAGGAACACAAACAAATGAACAGAACCACCTGTGATGGGAAATTGCAAACCACAGTGGCGTGCACACATTCACCAACTCTGCTTTTATGAACAGTCTGTGAAGCTGAGAGATACACTGTCTGGTGTGACACCGCCACCTCAGTAACCTTTGCAGCTGCCCACCTCAGAAATACACAGAGGAGTATTTACAACCTGTTTATTAGTTGGATGTCATGATTGTTATTTTTTACCTGCCTGCCCTAAATACTCGACTATTTAAGGTGTTTCGTTTCTCTCACTTCATCGGTAAACTGCAAAGACATTGTTGCAATTGTAATAAATCTGTGTAGCTTTACCATCGGAAGAGAATTTCACAAATTTGTTTTAAATCTGCTGCTTTTGAATAAATATAAACCCTGATGGACTCATAAACACCAAACCAAGCCCAGTTTGGGTCACACAAAATCCACCAAACACTGTACTGGTTGTTTGTGTGTATGTTCAGTACGTAGCTGACGATAAACAGTGATATCCAAACAAGCTGTGTTGCTGTTACTCCTGCCATTCATCAAAGAACTGTCTTGTGTCCTTACTAGGCAAGGCTGCAATTTGGGCTCAAGGCGTGGCCCGGCACCCATCGGGCTGTGTTCGCCCTGCGTACCAGTAATGACCCCTTCCCTATGGGGAGCGTTTGATCTGGGCTGCCTGTGTGCTTCAGCAGAACCTATTTCTGGAGCGTGGGGGGGATAAAGGGAGCTTTCATAGTTGGTGCCAATGACCATAATTAAGCAGCTTTAAGGGGTGGCAGCGAGCGCACTAGCAAGCACAGAGTTTGTAATTTGGAGGATGGAGGCAGTGTAGCTGTGGCTCATTGGAAGAGCAATGGAGGGTCAGGTGGCACCCAGCGCTGAAACACAAGGCGTGTGTGATGGGAGACTCTAAAGTGCATGTTAATGACTTGTGTCCCATTATCACTCCCCCTGTGGCTGGCTGCCCAACAGCCTGAGGGTGAAATGAATAAAAATCGCTTTAGCTAAAGCACCCACTCAGCTCCACCCTGATTGTGTCATTCAAAGAAAATGTTTCAGCTCTAAAAACTTCTAAAAGCGCTAGCACAAATCACATCTGCGTCACATCTTTGGCTAGTTGTTTGTCTACTGATTTTGCCTGTATGCAGCATTCATCTACTTAGCTGTAATAACAAGTCTTAACTGAGTGTTTGGCTACATTGAGTCAGATTTAGAGTTTACCTCAAGCATTATCTCAATTTTCCCTTGAAATAGATTTAAGTACCAAACTGCTAGTTCTTAAGAAGCCCAAGATGGCGCATACTTCTCAGAAATACAAAAATTGGCCAAAATTGCAAAGAAAAATGCAGAATGTCTTTGAACTTGACATTTTCTCATTGAACACAAGTATCATCAAGGCAAAAAGCACATTTGGATTATGTTCTTAACCAAATGTTCAGCACAGCTGAGAAACTTCTGCAGGTCAGTGGTTCTTTAACTTTCATCACTAATACAACCATAAGGATCTCTATGTTTGCTAAGAACAACGGCATTGTGATAGTTCACATCTGACGCAAACAAGCAAACCACACAAAAACTAATAACCTAGTCATTAACCCTGAATGGTTGAAGACATGATGGATTCAAGAATATTTTTGTGAAAACAGCACCTCGAAGACATTTATTTGTTTGTTTTTCTTCAAACCGAAGAAAAGGATAAAAACATTGAAATAAGACAACTAAAATGTGTCGACTCGTGCTTTCCTCATTCCCACATCATTATGCATAAAATCATTCCATCCATCCATTTTATTTACCAGCTTATCCATGCAGGGTCACGGGGTTGCTGGTGTCTATCTCCAGCAGTGTTTGGGCACGCAGGCGGGGTACACCCTGGATGGGTTATCAGTCAAGGACACACAGGACAAACAACTATGCATGTGCATGCTCACACCTAAGGACAATTTAGAGAGACCAATCAATCTGACAGTCATATTTTGGGATTGTGGGAGGAAGCTAGAGTACCCATAGAGAACCCGCATGTGCACAAGGAGAACAGAGAGATCCTGGGCTAGGATGTGCACCCAGGACCTCCTTGCTGCAAGGCAACAGCACTAACCACTGCACCACTGTGCAGCCATGCATGAAATCAAAACTCCAAATTCATCTTATTCATTTTCACCTAAAATGATAAGCTCACAAAAATCGAAGTCAAAGGTAGTCTTGTATTTCAGTTAGTTATTTATGTGTAATAGTAAATAATTCAGGGCCCAACACTGACCCTGGTGTACTCCACAGTAGGGGCTGCATGACTTAATTTTTTTTAAAGTTGACCGTCAAGTAATGAAAATAGAGCCGACTTTGACTAGTCGTTGATGACGTCATACATGGTGGGGGGTGGGGTTGGTTGGTTCGCTGGAGTTTTTGACAATTAAAATTGCGCCCACATTTTCTAAGTTAAACACATCTCTTTTAACAATGGTAGTTTCTGCACTTTGCTTCAGCCCTCTCCCCCTGCGCAGTGGCCGCAAACTCACTGATGCAGCAGAGTTCCTGCTGCTCTAAACATTAAAATAATTATTTAATTTTCTGTTCCTCACTTCTGATTACCCAATGATGTCTGTTTGTTGCAACCACCAGGTACAAAAACTAACTTGTTTTTATTTGACTATTTTTCTGTCCTGTATCTGTTTATCATCTTCCTGCATCTCCTCTCAATCCAAAAGAAAAACTGCTACCTGGGTTCATATATATTCACCTTATGAGTTAGCTTTGAACTGCAGTTCTAAAAGATCTACCAACCACAAAAACAGCAGAGTGCGCGCTGCGCGGCGGCCGCAACAGCCACGCTGGTGAGGCGCGTCACCGGGAGACAAAACAGTTGATGCGCTCCGCTCCACTGCAGCGAAACGCATCAGGCACAAATAAAAGACAGAAAACATAAAACGAAATGAGCTGACATGAACGATCGAGTGTTAAATGTGTCTTTGAGGTGGCGACACCTAATTTGATAATGTTACTGTGGCCATGTTCAGGACGCAGATGTCTGGAGTGCATCAACGATCAGAGCGTTGCATGCACAAGCTGGTTAAGGTTAGGATGGGGGTGAGGGGAAGGTTAAATTGCAAGAGGGTAAAGGTCACAATTCGGTCAAATGTCCGTTTTACGGCGGGCGTCAGATACCGGCGCTCTGGCACAGTGCGTCCCCTCCCAACGCACAGGTGCATGTCACCTGCTGTCTTTTCCGGGACTGCATCTTGTCGGTCATTATCACGTGACAGCGATTAGTCTATGAAAGTCATAAAAAGTCACTACAGAGCCGTGGAGTCGACTAGTTGATACAACCCCTACCTCACAGGACATCTGTTTCATAGTAGATTTTACATTTTGAATGTCTATGTGCTTCTGTCTTTTTGTTAGATACGTTTAAAGAAGTTGAATTAAATGCTGTCTTTGCTCTTCTTTTGCCTCTCAGTGTTTGACAACAAATTGAAGAAAATTCCTTTCACATTTACTTAATATTTAGCATATTTTGTTGCTAGCGGGTCTTACAGATTTTGCTGAAGTATCCAGTGGCATAGTTCTCTGTCCACCATGGTTTCCATTTAGTTTTTCGAAATATTCTCAGCTTTTGTTTTGAACAGTTTTTGTTTGGAGCCAAGATTATGAACTGCTTGAGCCCTTTGTTTTCATTGAATCTCTCCTTGTAGCTTTACATCACAGTTCAGTTTGTAACAATCGTTCAAATTGTTAACAAATGTTCTTCTGAGCACCACTAGATTTATCTTGAATATCACCAGTGGTACTGGTACCACAGTTCAAAGGTCATGGTACCAATTTTTCTGCAAAAACTCCCATTCCCTGTCTAGTTGATGGTGGCTGGTCCATTTAGATGGTCATAAATGAATGATAAATATCCTAATTGGACCTGCCCTGATGAGGCAAAGACCTACACTTGAGACAAGACAGGAAAAGTTCATGTGAGGCCAAACATCATGGCAACAAAGGGATGATCTGCAAATAACTGAGAAAACCGAGTGTGTATTCAGAGACAGCTGATCACTGAAGAGAGAACCAGGTGAGATGGTGAGTGAACTAGGAGTGTGTGCATGAAGAAGAAGCAGGACATTTGAAGGAGAAATGAACAACAAATTTCACAGAAAATTAATGAACTCTTAGTACAGCAAGAAGTCAAGAGCTACATGAAAATAAACAAATGGCAAAGTAAAGGCATGAAAAAGGAAAAAAAAAAGAATAGCATCCACAAAGGAGCAGTTTACACAATACTAGCAGTCACCTTCAACATAATTGTTGTAGTTTATTTATTTCTTTTTTGCAGAATGTAACTCAGGTTTTTATCAAATGTATATTAAAGTAAATGTATTTTTTCCTACCATGGAGGTGATGTGACAATTTCCCAGCAAATACTACATTTCTCAAAGATGATAGTGGTATATAAACTTTCCAAACTGTATTTTAACTTTAATATTTCATTTAACGAGCATTGAGTGAATTTCTTTTTGACATTGTGTTTTATCACTTTCAACTGCGTTTTAAATCAGGTTTTATCCCATTGCAGACCATTGCTTTCATTGGGTTTTTATTGGTTGTATTTAATATTTATTGTATCACTTACTTTTTAGAGTGCAGCACTGGGATGATGATGATGATGATGATGATGATGATGATGATGATGATGATGATGATTTAGAAAAATAGCAGATATTTTATATGAGTAGTAAACATTATTTTTATGCTTCAGCCACGTTGCTTCCTCCGTGTGGGGGTTAACTGGAGTTTGGGGTAAATCCATGTGGCCACCCCCTGGAGAAGAGGGGGGTGTAGTTGCTCCGTACAACCGCTGGGTGTGTAACTTGACACCTGGCTGCGCGGGTGCATTTGCCATCGTTTTACCCCCTGAAAGCCCATTTAAAAAGGAAAGAGACGCGTCCGGCGCTCCTGACTCCGTCCCCTCTCTCAGAATACGCCAGCTTTCTCTCCGGCTGCTCCGCCGCTCACTCAGGATCGGCATAAATGAATGAACCACACGGGATTATCAGCACACAGTCGCGCAGGGAAACTCTCTGTCAAAAAGGACAACCCGGGGGATTTTATGTTGGACCTGACAGGCGACTGAACATGATTTTTGGCCTCTGGAACGTCCCATCACCAACGGTGTCCAATGCGTAAAGCGGCCACCGGCGTTTTCTGCGCGCCTCGCAAAGGAGTCACGCTGTGATTAACGGATCAGGTTTTTGACTGGCAGGACAAATGAATACAAATGAATTTAGGCACCCGAAGGAGAGATTGCAGAACCTCTCATCTAGATACAAAGTAAGTACGATTTTCTTTTGTCTGTGTGAGATGGAGGAGGAGGAGAGTTAACATGGATGTTTACCTGGATGTGAAGGACCGACTGGCTGAGGTCCAGTTTAGCAGGAGGGATGTTCACACGAGATTTGACATTTTTGTGCCAGTTTAAATTGGGTCTTTTTTGTTTGTTTGTTTTGTTTTGTTTTATTTTTAGTTACACTTGACCCAAACTTTTTAAAACAGGAAATAATTTAGTTTACAAAAAGAAAATATGACTGGACACAAAACTCTTTCTTTTTGTTGTTGGTTTGTTTACTTTAGTGGTAGGCTGACAGCTTTGTCAGTGTTTACTAATCTGACTAGACCAGCTAACAAAGGCAGCCTCTCAAACCTGTAATGCTTAATCATCAAACTCGCCTTGGCCGTTTGTAACATTTTTGGGATGTTTTTCTTTTACGCATTAGCCTCAAAAGATTGTTTTAATGAGAGTTTTAAATTAAATTATTAACAGCAGCTATGAGAACTTATACATGAAGTGGGACAAAATAATCCTAATTAAGGGTTGCCACTTTGATAGCCTACATAGATTATTATTTACTCAATGACTGCTGATAAATCCATTCAATTCATTCATTCATTCATTCATATCATCTAAACTGATTTTTTTCATGACGCATCATTCATCCGTTAGAGTTAGAGGACATCATGGGGTATTTTTATTCTGGTGATTTGATTGTCAGAGGACTAAATGGGAATTGAACCACTGCCCATTTAGTGCCTTTCATTTTTACGTTTGAGAGAATGTTGATCAAACGTCTTTGTCTGTTTGCTACAAAATCTCCATCTTTGCCAGTTTAGCCATGGTTCATTTCCTACCTGTCCAGAGATCAGCAGCAGGTAAAGTCGTTCCCTTCACGACCATATGGTGTCCGCCTTTATGTCTGGGTCTTGATCTGTCACAGCTAATGATTTTTGTGGGATGTGTTGAAACATTTTGGCCTTGTTATACAAAAACTGGCACAAAATATAACATTTTGAGAAGTGGTTGTAACAAAAGTAGCCCAGAAGTGGTTGTAACAAAAGTAGCCCAACTGGCACACTCTGAGGTCTTGCTATTATTCTTGATTCTTTTTTTTTTTCCCCAGCCGCCTGCATCTGCAGACGGCTGTGCTTCATTTACAAGACTAATGTAGATCATTTCAGAAATCAGTCATCACACGCAGGACGGATGATGGACATGAGAGAGCAACGCTGGCGTGCACGCTCACCTCATGGGCATTCATTAGTGGCAGCTCATCCGTAGGGATTTTCCGCTGTGTGTGTGTGTTCAAGAGGTAGTTTCTCCTTTGGGAAACTTTTGCAGGGATTCAGTGAGTAGTCTAAACATGTGAACAGAAATGGAAACACTGGTCTTTCTGTGTGCATCTCTACCCCCAATCCTAACAACTCACCCTTTAACTGTGTTAGGTGTGTGTGTGTGTGTGTGTGTGTGTGTGTGTGTGTGTGTGTGTGTGTGTGTGTGTGTGTGTGTGTGTGTGTGTGTGTGTGTGTGTGTGTGTGTGTGTGTGTGTGTGTGTGTGTTACTACGGCAATAGCAGTAAAACTGTTTCAGTTTTTAAAGAAGAGCATTTCCCTCATGTATTCTCCAGTCTCTTGCTCAATTCAGAATTTATTGCGCTTTTGAATAATTTCTGTCAAATCATCAGATGACAAGATGAAAGATAGAAGCAGACAAAACAATATTTTTTCCACATCTGCTTTTAAAATGTGAGTTCAGAGGCTCACAGCTTCAAATCTACAGTCTGCTTTACTGGAGATCTAAGGAGGAGCAATTGTTCCTCCAGCCCGCCTTTTGTCCACTCAGCATTGAGCAGAATTCCCTCAGGGAGTCCCATCATGGCTCACAGTAAGACAAACCAGAGCAGTCTGAACCTACAGATGTCAGCCCTTCTGATTTAAATGTGCAGCCTTTAAAAACTCCTACCTGTCATGTTCACTTCTAAATCAAACCATAGAAAATCTAAACAAGCTACTGAGAACTTTAAACGGTGAAAGCCAAAGCAAACAGGGCTGTTTCCTGGTAGACTCGTTCCACTTTCCACAGATGCAAGCTGCCTGAGGAACAAAACGAGAGCTGTCTCGCTGCAGCAGTAACCGAGGCATTCATGACTCATTTTCAGAGCAGATTTCTTGTCTGTTGATAATGCTCTGAATCAGACGGTAATCACCTTGGAGTCTGGGACATACACACAAACACATCTGTGCAACCGCAGTCAGCTGTGTGTGAGGATGAGAGAGGGGATCAGACACCACGAACTTACACTCCGATGCTACTTAATGCTGTGTCCTCTAATGTTTCGTCATATTCTGTTGAAGATAGCAGGTTAATATGTTGATGCAACATTTTCTGTCTTTCCCTTTTTCTGTGTTTGCCTGCCCCTCTGTTGGCTTCCGGCCACAGCTGCTATACACATTTCCTCCTCCAGTGTGTATTAAACCACGTGTGTCTGGAAGACCTCCAGCAATAAACAGTAGCTCCCCTGCCTGTCATCAGATCTCCAACCCATGTGTACCCCCCCCACCCCCCACCCCCCCACCCCCAAATCCATCCATACGTGCCAGTGGATTTCTTTAAATTCTGCTGCAGACCTGGATGAGCTGAAGGTGTTGAGGGACATATTTTTGCTCAGTGTGTGAAAGCATGTTGGTTTTGGAAGTAGAATTTTGGGATAAGTACGGCACGGTATTTTCATCTCACAAACCACCACTTGTGGCTGTGTGTGTGTGTGTGTGTGTGTGTGTGTGTGTGTGTGTGTGTGTGTGTGTGTGTGGTGCTCTAAGTGCTTTTGCAGAATCCATCTTCTTGTTGTGCTCGCATTTGTTTTTTTCTAGTGAGGGTTATGCTACAACAGTTTAAAGTTATAATAGTACTATGGTCAATATAATACATATTGATGAAGTTCTTTGTTGTAAATCCATCTCACACGAATTGATTTCAGCTGTTTTATTCTTGACATTTTCAGTACCTTCTAGAATGAGTCGTTTCAGGGCTCTGTCACTTTAAGAAAACAAGCTGGAGCTGGCCACGCCCACTCTCTTCCATTCAGGCAGCTTTAAGGTTGGTTTATGCTTGACGCGTCCGCGAGGTCCGCACGGCTCCGCGCGGAAAAGTTGCGTCATTTTGCGTCATTTTAACAACCACGCCCCTCCACCGCGTCTCCGCACGGCCCAAGATTTCCGCAACGCGCACCTCGGAAAATTTCTAACCACGCGGACGGTCGGACGCGGAAAAACATGGCGGACCGGCACGGCAGAGGTTCGTAAATACAGACATTTGTATGATTCAGCTCTCAGAGATCACCGTGATCAACATGTTGTTAATAATTCTTGGAGAGAAATAGCTCGCACTGTCGGAAAAGACGAGAACGCTGTTAAAAATGCTGAAATACCATGTTGTAAACAGTGATTTCTACTTCTACTATGGTGTAGTGTTGGATGCATGCTGTAGAGCTCCATGCTGCCCCCTACAGTTTGGGAGAATATTGTCTCACCGCAGAGACGAGCCGCACAAACCATAAACGCTGCGAGTTGTGAAGCGGGTTCCAGCCGCGAGCCGCATCACCGCGCGGAAAGTGAATGCGTCAAGCATAAACCAAGCTTTAAGCTGAGAAGCTTTGATATGAGGGAGGGGATCAGAGTAGAGCCGCTGCTCCTCCAGCAGCATCTCTTGCACATTAGAGGTAGTCCTATCCTGTTCATCACAAATGGTGAATTTTTGAAACAGCTTGTTTTAGGCACATAATTCCTAAAACCAAACACTGACATAAAACTGGTGGGGGTTTATTTTTACGTTTTGAGTGTTTTTAGAGGCATTAGAGACCCTAATCGCAGCACAAAAGGATGCAAAAGGTAAGTTTAATATGTCCCCTTCAAGATTTTTTTTCTGTAAAGATATGTCACAGATTTCCAGTGATTGATTTCATCGGAACAGCAAGAGTTTATGGTATCCAGAATTTCTAATTAAAGCGAGTAAAACTTAGACTATTAAACAAGTCAGGAGAGGAGAAATTGGATGCTCAAGTGAGAGATTGAGATTTCTATACTCTGGTAATAGCAGGGCTGACTCAGGAATTAGGAGTTTACCCGTGTAAATTGTGGGTTGCCTGGTATAAAACCAGGTTCCATCCAGGTCAGTTGTTCTGTCTTTGAGCACGACACTTCACCCTCCTTGCCTGCTGATGGTGATTGGAGAGATCAGTAGTAGTTGTGTGGCAGCCTTACTTCTGTCAGCGTACTCTAGGGCTTCAGAGTCTACAAAAGTATCTCATCAAGGTCAAGGTCACATTTATTTCTAAAGCACACTTATTATTGCTTCCGCAACCCAAAGTGCTGTACAACACAGGAGATAAAACTGCAAACAAGTATAACTAAAAACCATAAAACCATAAAAATCAGCAAGTTAGGATAAAAACAGCATTTCATCACACAATAAAATCAATAAAAAATGAGAAAGACTGACAGTGACAAAATAAAATCATCCTACATAGAAGCCAGGTTGAATAAATGAGTTTTGAGCAAGGACTTAAAGACATCCAGACTTTGTGAGGTCCTGATCTGCAGAGGAAGACTGTTCCAGAGTGTAGGACCGGCCACAGAAAATGCCCTATCTCCGCTCGTCTTTAGGCGAGCCTTTGGAACTGACAATAAAAACTGTGAACCCAACCGCAAACTCCTGGCAGGAGTGTAGGGTGACAACAAATCATCTATGTAAGGAGGGGCCAGACCATAAAATGATTTATAAACAAAAAGCAACTATTTTAACTGAATCATGTAATGCACTGGCAGCCAGTGAAGGGAAGCAAGCACTGGAGAGATGTGAGCATGCTTCCTTGTACCTGTTAAAAGGCGGGCTGCTGCATTTTGAACCAGTTGCAAGCGGTTTAAGGAGGAATGCCCTAATCCATAGTACAGGGAATTGCAGTAATCTAGTCGGCAGGAGACAAAGAGATGAATAACATGTTCAAAGACAGTTTCCGGCAAATAGCACTAAACCATTGCAAGTTGCCTCAAGTGATAAAAACCAGACTGGACCACTGCACTTATCTGTCTGTCCAATTTAAACGAACATCCATAAAAAAAACAGGTTTTTCACATAAGGCTTTACAAAATCTGAAAGGGAACCAAGTGGGCTCACCGCACCCTTCAACAGGTCTCCACTGCCAAAACTAAAATCTCTGTCTTCAGGTCATTCAATTTCATGAAATTAGACCAGAAGTGATACATATGCAGTTCCCCCCTCATCTGCTAGGAGCTGGCTCCAGAAGGAGCATGTTCCCAATGACTCCCATGTTACAAATACCAACTTCACAGCACAAATGTTTACAGCCTGGTAACAAAAATTTAATACGTCTGGTTTACTATCACAACAATTTTAAAGGGGGTGAATGTTTTTGTAACTCGTCCATTTAGATATAATTAAAGCTTGAAACAATGAATACATAAGGGCACACGTCTATTTGATTGACAGATCAGCTGTCAGCGCTAGTGCTAGCAGCTGCTTGCTCAGCCTCTGCCTCACATTGAAAGTGTTACAGCCGGGCAGGCAGCAGAATCGCTCAACCACAGATTTCTGGATGAAAACTCCCTTGTACCTCAGTTAGCTTTGATTAGCTCCGGGTTAGCTCTGTTAGCTCGTAGCTACATCAGCTCAGAATTTGATGGGTGTCAATTATCTGCCCCCACCCTCACAGCCCTGCTCTCAGCTCCATTTTTGTGTTTTCTGGAAGTGACAAGACGTGTGTCACGGCCAAGATGGCAGTGATGGGTATCACCCATTGGGTTGATCTTATATGTAGTCAATGTCCCTGAATAAAAGTTAAAACATACCTTGGATCATTTTTTCTATTCGGGTGTCCACTTTTGTTTATACTTTGCTGCTGCACCTTGAAATATTAGACCTCAAATCTGTTAAGTTATAACTTGATAACGTGATGCTGAGAGAAAGACATCATGATTGTGTGCTGAGGAGTAGTCTGAACTTTCAGCTCCACATCTCAACTTAAAATAAATCCTAAATGATAAATTTAGACTTTTTCTGTTGTTCTATGTAAATCGACCCTTGTCCACTTTTATCTGTGTATGTGGGTGAGATACAGTGTGTATGGTGATGCCACAGCCCCAGTAAAGAGCCGGTTAATATGTAGACAAACATCAATGAACATCTTTTTTTTTTGGTTTGTTTGTTTGTTTGTTTTACCACAACTGGTGATGTGGATTAAGCTTTTAATTTAAGACTTTAAGCAGCCAATTTAGAAATTCCTTACATGAATGTTAGGTTAAACCACACATTTAAAATCTAACAATACCTAGAGGTCTTTAGAGACTGATTACACAACTTCTGCCTCTGTCTAACACTGCCCTTTGTTTCTTCCATCAGGAGAGCCCTATTGCTCTGTACGGTGTTCTATTGTACTTGTTACCTGGGACTCACACAAGTACACTCTGAAGGTAAGACGTAACTTCCTTATTCATCATCATTCACATTTTCCCTTCTCTTCTACTGGCTGAAACATTTTAGGGGTGACCAGCCGAGCAGTTTTATTCTTTTCCAGTTTTGATCACAGTTTGATTGGGCCACTTGTTGCCATAACAACAGATGCTGAGTGAGCTAAACTGAATGAGCAAGGCAGCAATCAGATTATGAAGTGTGACTCAAAGCACACTCCTTTCTCACTTCAGCAAACTACAGGGTTTAGCTAACAAGATGTAAAAAGTTTTACATAAAAATGCAATTAAAGATTGTCCCTAACTAATTCATAAGAAATACATTTAATATTCTGTGACTTTATTATTTTTTAAAAGATAAAAGGAGAATAGTGTGACTTCTGCCTCAAACTCCTCTCAGCTTACGTAAATTATGTTGCAGTTCTGAAATGGAAACATAATTTAGGTTCTTCACTCATCTTTGAGATGTTGTTTGATTCAATTCAAATATTGGGAGGCAGCTTGTGATTTTCTGCACTGCTTTTTGCATCATGCCGCTGTTTGCCCCTTAGGAAAAGTCCTGATACACTCCAGTGAATCGGCGCTCGGACCCCTCCGGTTATTATGATTGAGACTGACAGGGCCCAGAGTTCAAACGGCCCATCAAACCAGCGATTCAGCACTGATCCACACATCTAAAAAACTAAACATACACAAAAAAAAAGTCACTTCAGTTCCCTCAAAAATAAGATTTTTGTGGTTCTGATTGTAGTTAGTTTGTTGAGTAATCTTTTGGCCCCCTTCTTGATCTGTTTTGAAACACTTTCTTGTGAGCTAAACTGATTCTGAGGATCTGTTAAAAAGACCATCTGGACTTTAGTTCATTACTTTTTATCAACCAAAAGCCTCAACTTCTTTCAGAGTATAAAGTCAGTTTTTTTGTGTTTTGAGATATTCATTCAAAAGATTCTCAATATTCACCGCATGGTGGCCGATTTGGTAGCACTGTTGCACATTTGCATCCCAGCTGCAGCTCTTACGCGCTGAGTTTGAATGTTCTCCCCGTGCAGGAGTCGAAGACATTAAAGTTAGGTTAATGCTGCTTTGGATAGAAATGTCTGCAAAGTCCCTAAAGAACGTGTTTTTTTTCTATTTAGGTTAATGCTATTTAGGTTAGTGGCATTATTGTGAAGCTGGGTGTTTAGTGAGCAAGTTGTGCAATATTAAATATTAACACTTTTTATTGCCTTTTACTTGTAGCTTGTGTTGTGGATTTTATTTTATTTTACTTTTCATAAAACATCGAACTCCTCCACTGATTGCCAATATGCTGAGCAAAAAGTAAAAATGTTATTTTTTAACTTAAGTGCACTTAAATCTTGGCATCCCCATTCATGGATCAGTCATAATGTTAAAAAAACACTTTTTCTGTTTTTTTATAGGTTTTTTAAATCCAAAACTAATTTTTAGGTGTAATTTCTTTGAGATCCATGCAGTATGGTGTTGAGAGAGTCTAAAGTTTATGAAACAGCTTGCTGTTGACCAGTACAGGCCAGCCAAAGAGGCATCCCTGGAGTGCAAACTGGTGACTTCATCTTCGACAGTGGATGAGATTACAGTGAGAAAAGCCTCTGACTTTCTGTTTGTCCTAGTTGGCTCAGAGCAAAGCTATGAACTCTGACCATGTGTTCATGAACACCCCCGCTCCTGCAGAGTGCTGTAAACCCACAGGGTTAAAACACAAAAACCCTGAATCACAGAATAAGATGGATTTGAATTAAGTCATTGGAAACATCAGAATATGTAAAGAAGATGTAATGCACACTCTGTTGCATTGCCAAGTCCTGTTCTTGGAAAAGAGACCACACAGAAAGGAAAACTGGCTGTGGTGCATCATACACCCAAACTAAATCTTGTTTCTAGTTTAAAAGTCCTGCTGAAGTTTTGAGGAAGCTGGAGTTTTCTAGACTTTTCGGAGCATGGAAGGGGCTGCAACTTAGCCAAGGGAGCTAGACCAAATTCTTGCTTTGCAAAGTTTGTTTATTCACATATATATTCACGGATGGCTTGCCATGCTAGCTGCAACTCACTTTTCAATCATTTTTCAGAGTGCAAAAACTCTAGTGTTCTTTTTTTAATGGTTGTCAAATGTGTTTTCTACATGCACTCAGCATAACACAAATGATTTGTATTTTATAGAATAAAATTCCTAAATTTCATTTTCAAAGTCTGAATTCTAAAACTATTACAAAGCAGGCCTTGTAGTGTAAAAAGATGAGCACTTCATTGAAAATCAGCCTGTGGTTAACCAGTGCAGAAGATAGAACATCCCAAATGCATGTCCCCATTAGACAAGGACCAGTGACCACAGGTCAAAATGGGCCAAAAGACAATGATGTTTATGAGAGGCCCATAGGTCAGAGGTCATCGAGTGGAAAAAAGCTGGAATCACTGAGACTGAATACTGAACTGAGCCGGTAGATGATGCTGTCACTTGTTACAACTGGATTGTTCTAAAAATTTTAAATGCCTTCAAAACACAAACTGTACCGTGTAAAATTTGAACTATTCGTTTCAAAAATACAGATTCTATACAGACTAAAGCTGCATGCAGATAGAAAAGGGCGAAATGCTTTTTCTCAATAAGCTTAAAGTCTTTTCCAAAGAAGGAGATGAATTCAGTCAACCTAAATATATTCATGTATGCTATATATTCACTATGCTTTGATGTGGTTGTCAAATACCAAAAGTTTTAACTGGCTTGCTTGTTAAATGTGTTGAAAACAGGGTGCGATTGTGCGCGGTGGTTAACATGGTATGGACTAAAAACACAGACAGTGCAACACATTTTAATTTAGGGGGCTTGAAGGCCTTTCAGGTAATAAACACGCACATTTAAACTTTATTACATAAACTGAGTCTAAAAACAGGAAAATCATTTTGAGAAATGTCACCTTTTACAGTTGAAGATGCTACAACTTCTTTGCAGCCCTTCCTTACTCTAAGGCCATTTCACTGAGAAACTGTTTTCTACTTGTTATTTTTTTTAAATATGATTGGTCACTCTGGAGTTTAACATGCTAGCTAAACATGAAAATAGTCTTCTACCCCTTTTTCTGGCCTTTGTCGCAGGTACAAAATAGATGAAGAAATCCAGTGACATTTGCATGTCATAATATCAAATTAGCTTTCAAGGACTCACCCATCTTGGCTCACAGCAGGCAAGGCTGCTGTTGATTTAGCATCCAACAAACAGCAGAGAATGTTTCGGCTAGTAGAAGCTAATCGTTAGCATTAGCAACTCAACAACATGGCAGAACTACTTTAGGCTTGTGTAAGTAGTGGAGATGAAACATCAACGTTGCAGAGCAAACAGAGTCATTTGTAATATGCAGTATGAAGCTACAGGGGTAAAGCAGGCCTGTGATTATTTGCATATCTAACACCGCCCTTTCTTCTTTCCAGATGTCGACATCCTTCAGAAGTTGGGGCTTAAGGGAGAGAAGCCTTCGCGCTCCGTTCCAACAGGGGTCATTCCGTTCAGATCGGGGATTATCCTCACCCAACGGGCGCACATTGAGTCTCCGTTGGGCTCAATCCTTCCAGCGGCCATCTGGCCCAAATTGGCACTGGTCCTGAGTGTACGGTCACACCGTGTGAACAGCGCTTTCCTCTTCACTGTGCTTTCAGGCAACAAGAAACTTCTTCTTGGTCTGCAGCTTTTGCCGGGCAGTCTTGTACTACACACGGGACCAAACACCTCAGTGGCGCTGCCCTATGAGCCTCATGATGGTCAGTGGCACCAACTGGCAGTAGGAATCAATGAACAGAGAGTGACTCTATATGCCTCCTGCGGAGAGCAGAAAGTTCAGGCAGACTTTGGGTGGGACACTGAGGAGGGACTAGCTCCAGAGCTCCAAGGCTCCTTTCTGCTGGGGCGGACAAGCCAGCAGCATGCATCAGCATACTTTGAAGGAGCTATTTGCCAGTTAGATTTGGTCCCTTCTGCACAGGCAGCTCATAACTACTGCAAGTACATAAAGAAACAGTGCAGGGAAGCTGACACATACAGGCCTAACCTTTCACCTTTACTCCCTATTCTACCAAGAGCAACAAACATCACAGCTACTGCTGCCACTCCGAAGCGTGGTGGTCTAGAAACATCCAGAAAGTCGACAGGGTTGAGCCTTGCCAAAAGTGTTGCTGCTGCTGCGTCAGCTGTCAGATATGTGGCCTCGCCCAGAACAATAAAACCAAATCAGAGGACTACCCCCACTCCCCTGCTGGTCACAGCAATGCCAGTCACATCCCATTTTGGTTTGGTGGCCCCATCTCCTAAGACCAGGACAGAAACTGTAACGACACCACTCAGGACAGCAGCCTCACACACAAAATCACCAACCCCAAGACCAAAAGCTTCAAATCAGGAAACCCCCAAACCACCCAAACCCACTCCGCAGAAGAGCTCAAACAGCCCCAAAAAGACAACAGCAGGAACAGACAAGAAGAAACCTACTACTCCAGCCACTATCACAACAAAAAAACCAGAGACCAAATCTGTCTCTGTCCTGCGTGGCCAAGCTAAAGTCCTGAACAAACCACAACCCACAACATCCAAGAAAACACTCCCAAAACCTAAAGTTTCTCCGTCCAAAGCCACTCAGCCAAAATCCAAATCAATTCCTGTCAAAGTTGCTCCTTCTAAACCAACAAAAACCAAAGTTAGTTCCTCAAAATCAACAACTCCCAACCCTACAAACGGAAAATCGTTCAAACAAGCCTCTAAACTGACAATCAAGCCAACAAAGAAAACCAAAACTACAAAGGCTCCACGACCTACCAAGCCTTCATACAACACAGTTACACCACCTGCCACTGATGGCTTCCTGAGCTGGGAGGTGCCACCAACTCAGTTTTCAATGCTGGCGGGACCTGTGGGACAGAAAGGAGACAAAGGCCACTCGGTAAGAGCATCTGCTTTGCTTAAGTTGCTTACACCTTTGTACCAGTGCCACAAAATAAAGCAAATAAATCAAACTCTCTTTTGGACATTAATGGAAAGGTTAGGATTACCAGGTGTGGTTGAATGAAAAACATTTTAATGATTATTTCTGAATATCATCAGTCACTCTTGTTTTTTTTAATACAGGCTGATGATGAAAACAGTCTCCTACACCGTTCTCCTGCGTTAGCTTCTGATAGAAAATAGACAATGAAACTCCATTTGAATAGCATGACATCTCTACGTCACACTGTGAATTGGACTTACCCATATTGACCCACAACGGGGAAGGTTGTTGTTTTAGCATCCAGAATGAGCAGAGAATGTCTTTTTCAACAGAAGCTAACCGCTAGCATTAGCAACTCAAACACATGACTGAAGCTCCTCCAGGCTTGTTATACGTGGAGATAAAAACATCCATTTCCCCAAGCAAACAGTTAGTGGTAGAGTCGCGTTGCTTTTATCCAATCTTAGGCAAGATCTCTAAATTTCAGGAAATAGGACTAAATCCTTCCATTTGAAGCACAGCTCTGATGTCGCAAACTGGTCCTGCTGGGCCAGGGGTTGTGGGCTTTTTGTGCCCTGAGTTCCGCCTGCAAGGCATTCTTTTCTACTAGTGACCACTGCAAATGTATTGATTAAGCCGGTAATTCACACCTTTAACATGATCTCCACTCTCCTGCACATGAAGCAGTTCTTTCATGTTTTCACTTCTTTACTCATTCCTCTGTGTATCAAAGCACCCGAACCGATTGTAAAGTGTCATTTCTCACGCTTTGTCATCTCTTGACCAGATTCCTCTGTCTAACAGTTCTAGTCGAGGTCACGTGACCCCATTTCAAAGCGAGGTTCAGGGTCATAGAGGTCAGTAAACATTCAGCCTCCCAATCCAGTTGCAAGGTTAGGTAAAGCTTTTCGTGTCATCACTTTAGTGTCAACACAATTCCCCCCTTTTCAGAGTCAGTTATTTCTTCTCATTGGTTGATGTGAAATTCAAAAGAATGTTTTACTTTTGCATTGTTTCCGTTTGTAATTTGCTTTTGAAGCAAGCAGTGTACAGTGTGTTGAGGATAACCTCAATAACAATGGGCTGAGTTTTATGTGGTTGAGAAGCCAAGATTAGGCTGGCAGGAGGCTAACGGATGAAATTAACTCCATCAAAACCTAAAAAACTAGCAGGAAAACAAAAAAAAATCCATTGAGTTACAGAAATCCAAAGAACCCAAATAAGAATACATTGAAAAGCAAGACCAGTGTCTGTGAAATTTTCTTCTTGAAGATGGGCAGGTGTAAGTGGACCCTAACCCTCCAAACAAACAAACATGTTAAAGGAGAAAGACTGGAAAAGGAAGTGAATACACTGCCATCAGCTTCTGGAGGGTGATGAGCCCTGCTGCGGGCCTGATCCGACCCAGGTTTCAGCTCCTCCACCCCGCAGGGAATTAAAGACACACTGTGTGAAGATGGACAAATGTGTTGGTGTTGACAGGTCATAGAGCCCCACACACGCATCATTAGGGGTGGTCTCACCCTGGAGGCTCATCCTGAAAGAGAGTGTGAAAGTATTGACTGATTGTGATAACTTCTATTCTAAGATCTGTGAGTCGTGTTTGGAAATCGTGTTTTTGTCCTCAGAAGTTGACAGCTTTGGAAAATGAGATTAGGACAGAAAATTCTGAGACATCAAAAGCAGCATTTATTTGAGTTGCCCCCTTTTATCTTAACATCAAACTTCAAAGGATCTTTAACAGTCTAGTAAAGATGCATCAATGAGTTTGACAATGAGCAGAGCGTTTTTAGGATATCAAGTGTTTTAAAACAAATGTAACTTCAAATCCAGAGCCCCTAAAGGGTGTTCTTGTCTGGCAAAAGAACCACAAGCTTTCTGTTTTTCCTCACTTCTACTTTTCCTCTTTTTGATTAAAAGAAAACGAATGAGCAGAAGCCAGATAAAGACATACAGAGTTATTCACTGGAGCAGGAAATGACCTGCTATTTCTAGTGTTTCTACAGTTTCCTGTCATGCAGGTTCGCTACCTCTTGATGGATAACTCTCATCACCTTCTGATGAAATTACTTCAGAGGGACAAGGTGTTACTTTTTACTCTTCAAACACAGAGTAGTCTATGTTTTATGGGAGTAATTTAAATGTGCAGACTCAAAAAAGATGCGCTTGTGGAAGATAGCTAGTGTATTAGCGAAGATAAATTGTGTAGTATACCACCATGCACCACTGAATGAGTTAAATTTCCCCAGGGACTACCAGGACCTCCAGGGAAACCAGGCCTACCAGGCAAGAGGGGTCCTCGGGTAAGTTTTCAAATGCTTTCTCAAAATGTAAAACACACAAATATTTAAACAGTTTTTTTTTTCAACTGTAAAAATGTTAACATTATGTTTACAAAGTCTACGATTTTTTTTAATTTGTTGCGTTGTTTCAGATGTATATTTTCCTGTGAGCCTTCATAGGAAATGGAAGCCAATGCACAAACTGAAAGTTCAAAAGCTACGTCTGTGTCAGCCAGCCTAGAAGCTTTAGATTGTTTTCTGCAAGGACCAGATTCCTACATCAGTTTAAATCCCTCCCATTAAGCCAGCTGACACACACACACACACACACGTACGCACACACTGCTCACAGACAAAGTTCTCTTATGCAGGCGGCTTGACCATATTCAGCACAAGGCTGCAAGTGCTGACCTCCCACCCCTAAGCATAAACAGGAAAGCTCATATAAAGGCAGCCTTTCAAAAGGCTGCCTGTGCCACAGGATGCCTAATAAAAGCACTGTAAACAGAACACATGGCTCCACTGGATGTTCTTATCCTGGCTGAGCTGTTGCAGCAGACCTCACCAACACTTCATAGAAACCCACTCAGAAGCAATGAACAGTGTCCTTTTCCAAGCCAGTTAAACATATATAGACTTATTCAGGGGGTCTTCTCTTCAGGAATCTCTTTTTGGGTTTGCATTTTGTCACATAAAAACTTAAGACTGTGTTATTGCATGTTTCTGATTGTCCATTAGCCTCTGCTTTGACCCAAACTGACTTATTTCCAGCAGCTTTTAGATAGATCATGATGACAATGTGTTTTGATGTCACCATAACTTCTTTTTAGTGCCACCACTGGGGTTTAGCTGTTTGTCTGCTGTGAATTATCTCATTGTTTGGAGGGTTTAACATAAAACTTGGGGGCATTATCAGGGGGAAAATTTTAAGTCTTACCTACAATATGTATTCTCATTCCAGGTTAGTTGGCACTATGGAGTAATTTTCAGCTAGAACTACTGTAGAAAAGTTAAAGGTCTCATTTGTTAGTTTCTTTTTGGTTTAAAATTGGTTAGTGAACAATTTTCTGTGGAAAAATATGCTCTTGCGCTCTAGTTTCAGGGGGTAGAAGTTTGTTGGAGTGTGTTGGCGTGTAACTACAGGATTATGAGATTTACACAGTACAGAGGATATCTAATGGCTGACAGTGAGGATCCGAACAGAACACCATACACAGTGAAATAAGATTTATTAAAATCCTTAAGTAGTGGAGGCAGGGAGATAAGAGCTGGTAGCTCAGGGAAATCACCCAAAGGCTGATCAGAGTGGTTGTTCAGGAGGATGGTCAGTGGACAGGCCAGGGTCAGAACCAGAAGACAACGAGCAGAGTAATCCAAAATGGGGCAGGAGTCAAGAGACAGGCCCAGGGTCAAAATCCAGGAATTATAGGTGGGCAAAGGTATCCAGATGGGGCGAGGCAAGTGGGGAGATCCAAGGAGCAAAAACGTGATCAGGAACAAGGAGTCAGGCTTGAGAAGAATGCAGGATATTTACTCACACAAGGCTTTCTATAATCTGGCAGGGAGTTGGTGGTTGGCTTGGGTATATATAGCAGGTGAAACAGGTGAGTAGCATGAGCTTGATTACTGGGAGCAGGTGTGGCAGATGACTCTAAGGAGAGCAGGCTGTGGTTGTCATGGAGATGAGGGCGGACAGAGCTGGATCATGACAATATGTCAGTGAATAAGACCTTTAAAGGGTAGCAAACACCCATTCCTCGAGTTATAAAATCTACAAGACGTGTAAAGAAAACCATGGTGAAGAGGACTGTTAAAGCTGCTACCAGTGGCTCATTATGGTCTCCATGGTAACCACCCAGCTGCGTCTCCCACTCCCTAAAAGCAAACTAAAGACTCTTTTAGAAAACAATGCAGCCAGTTTGCCACAACGCTGAGCCGGTTCAGGGAGCTTAAGGTTGTTTTTTTTAAGTGTTCAGACTGTGGCGGTAATGTGATGCAATCAGGTCCTTTTTTTTACAAAAGATTATGCGAGGGCGGAATATAGGGGGTATGGGGGCGGTCTCTGCACGGCCGCAGACTTCCGTTTATCTTGGACATAACTTGCTTTTTATTGTGATCAAGCTGTACTCGTTAACTTTTTTTGACAAAACGCTCCTAAAGGTTTCTGTCCTCCACAGCCCCCGTGAACTGTCTGGTGTTCTAAGCTCCAGCTCTAACGTAGAGAAGCTCCTGGAGCGCTGCATCGCTCCAGTTTATCATCTCAGCGGATTCTGTTAACAAAAGCAAACTTACTGCCCGTTTCACTTTCATTTTCAATATAGTTGCCAGCCGGAGGTTGGCAGTAACTTCCCACGTAATCACCACCCTCTGCTGCACCAAGGTGTAATATACATTCAAAAGTCTGACGTTGTGGCAATATTACTACCAAGCTTGGAGGAACAAATGCCACTAAATGTCCGCATCGCCACGCCTCCACGGTGCATTCATGAGGCACGTCGTGGCGGCAGCATTATGCTGATTTGCTGGCTTGGTGTGTCTTCTAAAAAGGGCTTAAAAATGTTTTTGCACCCCTGCTTCTCACTTTGGTGGAAATTTTCAGGTGCAACCCAGAAGCGGCACGCCGCACCGCTAAGGATTGAATTTGATTCTATTTCTGCCGCAAGCCACTTCTGGGACACAATAATTTCCACAGTTAACATAGGGCTAGACAGGAAATCACATACGCTTCCAGTGTAAAACTCCCAGTAATTTCCAAAATAAAAGACTCTTGTAGCAATGCAATTTCACATCTATTAAATCAATATAAGATGACCTAACTGCTTATTTACTCCCAGTATCATTCCAGAAGTGCAGAGGTGTGTTTTTTATGGCTTTAATCCTGGCAGTGGAGAGGAACAACATCATATACGACATCAAACAGCGATATCAAACATGATATCCTTCTTTTTGGTTTAATGGCGGATGACATTAACTCAAGGGATTTGGGGATCTTGCAAATTAAGTGAGGAGGATGGCGGATGTCTTGAGGGATTTTGTGAACACGCAAATCTACGGTAGAGGCAGCAGTAGCTCAATAGGTTGAGCGGGTTGTCCAGTAATCGGAAGGTTGCAGGTTCGATCTCGGCTCCAGACAGTGAATTCTGCTGTTGTGTCCTTGGGCAAGACACTTAACCCACCTTGCCTGCTGGTGGTGGTCGGAGGGACCGGTGGCGCCAGTGCTCGGCAGCCTCGCCTCTGTCAGCGCGCCCCAGGGCAGCTGTGGCTACATCGTAGCTCATCCCCACCAGTGTGTGAATGTGTGTGTGAATGGATGAATGATACACTGTAGTGTAAAGCGCTTTGGAGTCCTCTGACTCTGAGAGGCGCTATACAAGTGCGGGTCATTTATCATTTAGAGAAGCCTGTCCATGGCTGACATTCTCCTTGTGTGTACTGGACTGCAGCGACTTGCGAGTAAACCATTCCTCTGCTGTTCCGCTCCACTGATGCTTCCAGTATAAAGTAGGGGTTAGTAAACCAGATAAACAGTTGGTGTGAGAAAACCACAGACCATGGCACAAGATTCAAATGCTCAGACTTATATTTCCATAGTCTCCATGTTTTGGTGTATAATTTGTCTATCTCCTAAATAAGATGTACAAACCGTTAGTTTGCAAAAACATTGCAAGACCTTTGGCTGATCAAAAGTCAGCTCTTTAAACATTTATTTTTCAAAGCTACTAAATAATTGTATTAATAAAAAAATCGTGACAGGTTTGCGGATCAGACTGTTGTGAAAATGCTTCATTGCTTATGCACAGTCATTTACCACAATGCACAGCTTTAGCAGGCTTGTGTTATAAGTTTGATTTAAGCTGTTTCTCAAAAACACACAAGAACACACAAGTCTGCTTCAGATCATTAGAAAAGACATTCTTTATCCAGTGGAGATGTGTATACATGTGTGTGTGTGTGTGTGTGTGTGTGTGTGTGTGTGTGTGTGTGTGTGTGTGTGTGTGTGTGTGTGTGTGTGTGTGTGTGTGTGTGTGTGTGTGTGTGTGTGTGTGTGTGTGTGTGTGTGTGTGTGTGTGTGTGTGTGTGTGTGTGTGTGTGTGTATTAGCCATTTGCATTTATTTTAGGTAAAGCTGCTGCCAAGTTGGTGATTAATCCACCACTAACAAAACCAAATGGCTAGGACAATATCCAGAGCTATTATGTGAAGAGCTTGGTTTTTATAAGTCACAAATATTTTGGCTTCTTCATTTATAATGTTTATTACAAGCTGAATGAGCAGCCAACTTCAGCAGAATAGGCAATAAATTGGTTTAAGGACTTCAAAAACAAATATTATTTGGTGTGCTTGGATGCCAGTGATTTAATAAATATGTGAATGAGTGTTATTTAATGCATCTGCTCACGTCTTAAGAGACTTTCAAGGTCTCTTTAATACCTCTCTTGCTCCTAGGTGTGAAAGGAGTTCTTTGTCTGGATTCAATTAAAGCTATTTAAGCCCCATCAGCATCTCTCATTTCATCTCTGGTAGCCGCTCCAGCCAGCATTAGGCGATCCAAATCAAACTAACATAGAGTAAAGGTTAATTGGGCTTGAAAATGCTAGCTCGGTGTAGTGCTAACTTGGCCAAGCTAAGTATAGTTTTGGTTCTAAATATTTTGCTGAATCAAGCTGCAAAATGCTTCTAAATGTGCTCAGAAAAAAATAAAAAATAACTTTTTTGTTTGTTGTCATGAATGGTTTAAACCCTAGAGATGGCTGTGGGTGAAAATCCGAGTAAATCAGTAGAATGTGTAATAGACAAACCCACAGCAGTTTCAAAGTTACTCAAATTCTCTCTTTCTGCATTTTGATGCTCGGTTTTAACTAGAAAGTCATCTTCACTATGTCTAGATGCCTAATTGTTGCCGTTGTGTGATTGGCTGATTAGCAGTTTCTGCCTGGAAGGAAATTAGCAGGTGTATCTAAAACAAATTTCCAGACAATGTGTCAGCTAGTAAAAGCCCACTACTGACTGATTGTCTGGTTCAAGAGCATGCCTATCATTAGGGGGAGCCTTTGATTGGCGGGTAGAATCAGTCCGCAGGGGGCTTCCCGCATGCACAATTCATTATCATTTCAGGATGGGGCAGGCTGGGGCGAGCGGGGTGGAATGGTGCCGATGCTAGTGTGTAAGTGGGATTAGGTTTAATCTTTCCAGTACATATAATGCAGCTTTGAATCTCATTCCTAAGCAGTTTCAGTCTAGGTCACACCCTCCTGAACCTAATCAACACAACGACCGCTTCACAAGAGAGGCTAACGACCCATCATGGTGTAGAGAGAAGGGGTATTCTGAGTAGTTTCTGCTCTTTAAGCAACAACAGACAGCTACAGCTGTAAACCTGACTCTCCCATATTCCAGTCAGAATTGACAAAGCTCCTTGGATGAGAAGAGAAACATCTTCAAGAAATGAAAGAAGTCCAATTGTCTTCATTTAAACCCTTTTGGACTCCAAATCCTGCCGTTTTCTGCTCCCCCTCCTCCAGCTACCTTCCACTTCCTGAAGCTTTCTTTTTGCGGACAACATATTCACAAGACATTTATTTATACTAAGAGACCACTGCAGATTTATCAAAATAAAGAGTGCATGCCCCCTTTAAATGAGAAAGGACTTGCAAAATTTGTTGAGTTTTGAAACCAAATGAGCTGCATTTGTATTGCGCTTTTCCAAGTGGGACGACTCCAGTCATTCACCCATTCACACACTGATGGTAATAAACTTCAATGTGACCACAGAGGATCAGGGGCACACTGACAGAAGCAAGGCAGGAAGGTGAAGTGTCTTGCCCAAGGGCACAACGTCTGACACAAACTCCTAACCCGAGTCACCGTCGTCACCAGTTCAACAGGAGTCTCTTGCATGCCCAGTGTCTGACCACACAGACATTTTATTTCACACACATACACAGGAGTGTATACATGCTGGAGCTGTATAATCCCTCATGGACAAATATGGCTGTGATAATGACGCAACTATATAAAGAGCAACGCTGATTATGTCTCTTTCCTGTAAACAAAATCATTTATCAAGTTTAATTGCAGCTGCCATGTGTATGTGCTAGCGCCGAGATGCATATACACATATTTACACAGACGCAAAGACCCAATTCATGCAAACAAATGCTTCACAAACTCTCTTCTCTCAGCCAAATGCACATGTGGTTTCAATTTGGAGAAGGAGATTCTCCCCTTCAGTGGAATAATCAACTCCAAATCTGATTTTCACGCTTCAGGCCCACAGGTGGTGAGGCATTATTTGGCCTTAAGCTGTGATGAGTAAGAGGAGTTTCCACTCATGGAGTTTTTCACTGGGAAGAGAGCTTCTCTGCCAGTTTTCTGCTTGACCTTCTGCAGCCTTGTATTACTGGAGGTCTCTGTGATAAGACACAGAGCACCATTGATCCCAAGAAGCACCTCCCGTGAACCTTGACCTCTGATCCCAAACATGTGAGTGTGAGATGCCGTCGCCGCGGTAACGGATGTCTGCTCGGAAGTTTCTGTTAGGTGTCCATGAGTGTGCGAGGGTTTCACGAGTCAGTTTGTGGGTGTGTGAGAACGACTGTGCGGCGGGAGGGCGTGAGAGGAAACGTGGACGCATCACCAATGCACAGACCTGCATCTGTCTGAGCGCCGGCTCCATGTATTCTTCTGGAGCCTCGCGGGTCAATGAGGCCTTTGTCCAATGAAAAAAAGTCGCTGTCACCCTTCTTTCCTCGTCCTTCCCCCGAACAACTCTTCTTCTTTCATCAAACAAATTCCCTCCAACCTTGATCCACCTGTTTGAACTCAAAGAGAGCAAGAAACTTTCAGCAGAGCAAGTTTTTCTCTGTTGTTTTGGTCACACCATAAATCAGCTTTTTGAAGGTATATATGAATCCCTGTAATAAAACGAGTTTGGGTCTTTGCGCTGGAAAAGAACTGTAATACGATTCAGGACATTAAAATTAACAACCATGATCTAATATTTTATAGGTGCAATCTCCGTGAACGCTCTCAAACGGTTATAATACAACCTTTTAAATGTTTAAGCTCTGGTTTTCCATTACCTTATTTAATTACGAGCCTTCACTATTATAGAACGTCTAAGTGATACTTTGCATTACTTAGTAGTTTACCTTTCTTTTTCACACCACATGACGTACTTCATTTTAAAATAAAAACTGTTGAAGACTGTATTCATCCTGCCTGCCTTTGCTATAATCAAATTGTGCTCTGATTTATGTGACATTAGGCTCATTCAGCAATGGAACAATGCACAAATGGGGCTCTAATGGACAGTGAAATGTTTTACTTAAAAGCAAAAGCTGTGCAGGTATCACCTTGGATCTGTAATTATGAAGACGTCCGGTGGTTTTACGTCCTTAGACTCATTTGGCACAGCATCCTAGAAAAACTCTTCAATCTTTATTACGATGGCTTTGTGATCATTGAAAGCTTCTTTTATGAGCCGATGTTACGAGTCAGACTATGTTTACGGGGAAGACCATCATTTTTTTTAGAACATAGAACATGAGAATGATGTCATTCATCAGCTGTACAGCTGCAGTTGTACCACAGAGAGGCATATCTTGAAATAGTATCAGCCATTACTTGTGTACTTTTTCCTGAAGAATTGCTGGATTGCAAAGTTTAACACAAACCACGATAACGCCTCTTAACCACTGTTTAAATGATGACTTTGTTTATTATTTATTTATTTTTATTTGGTAGGCCTTTGATTTGGTGTGTCCCACCCTGTTCCTTTCTAATTAAACACCTGCTTTGAGAGAGAAGCGCCCAACGTGGAGGCGAGGGCATGAGATCCAGTCTTGGTGCCAACCAATGCCTACAAGTGCACTGCCCAATCTGCGGTGCGCCGCAGGGTTAACTTAGTAGCGTGTAATTCAAACATGTTTGTTTAAGTTCATTCAGGGCGGAGCAGCGATCTTTAACACAGACCATCTCTCTTGGAGTGCCAGCTGCGCAGAAACCGAGAGTAAAATGGGAAGTGCGTGGGATGAAAAGAGGCGAGATCCTTAAAACTTCAGGGCCGTTAAAGTGAAAAAATGTTTGGTGTAAACCACACCAAGCTAAAAGCATGTTTTTAAATTTGAATATGATTTTATGACTCAAATAAAAGATGAAAACACCTATTATGCTAATTTAGGGAGTCAGAACTCAGCTCCAATTGAGTCAGACAAGACTGTCCTCACCTTTGACAGGACGATCAGTTGTTGCCAAACAGATTTATGTTCCAGACACTCATGGGTCTGTTTTTGAAATATTCCAGCAGAACATTTTTGCGGAATAGAGCCCAAGCTTCAATATTACTTGTTTTGTTTTAAATCCTCATTGAAATGTTGCATATTTGCTCACCTAGATGTTGCTGAATGTTGGGTTTTGATCGGCAGATCAAATTCCTCTAACAAAAAGTCTCCTGATTTGTTTTGACTCACCTCAGTGAAACTTACTGACCCAGCTCTTAAAGCACTTCTTCCACACTCAGCTCACTCAACCCCTGACCCAGGACGGACATAGGTTAGAGGCCCGAAGATGCCACACCACGTGGAGGGCAGGGGTGAGGTCAGGGATCCACAGAAAAACCCCATTCAGGATCAGAAAAACCAGACAGTCAGACGGGTGGATGAATAACGCACCCACCCGTCCCCCTGCGCTTCTGTCTGCGAGCTGCAGCTCAAACCAAAGCACTGCTGCATATTCATTCCCCGACTTTCAAAGTTTCTCTGCTGAACCCTCCCATGGGGGCTGCTGCGCACAGCGCTGGGGTTCACATTACCGAGATGCTGCCACTGCTGATCCTGCGTCGTTTCTGCTTATTTCCTGAGCATTTGCCAGCACGGACAAAAATGCACGTCTGCAGTCAAATTCTAATTCAAAGTGCTGGAGACAAGAGGCCGTCTGCGTTAGTCATTAAAGTGCCTGGCAGTTTTGTGTTTGTTTGTGCGCGTAAATCGGAGACTGGGGTTGGACTCTGAGGCAGCGGGGGACAGAAAAGCACGACCATATGGTGGAGCAGCTCCAGAAAACCCCATTTTCCATGAGCATCCACCCCCAACTCTAAATACCTCACACATAAACACACACACACACACACACATGCACACACACGTGCACGCAGTTAATGTACAATAGGAGAAAGGCTGAATTTCTCCATACAGTCCTATTTTGTGGGGTAAAACATCCATCGAATAACTTTGGATCTTGAAGTGGTGAACTACAGACTCTTACTCATTTTTTGTCTTTTCCTACTTTTTACAGGGTGAACCTGGTCCCCATGGGAACCCTGGCCGACCTGGTGCTCCTGGGCTCAAGGTACTCAATCTAAGTCTAACTCAGGATCTCTTGTGAGTGTGTTGGTTCATCACCTAAAACCCTTCAGTCATATGATTTTTTTACACATAAAAGACACACTTTTTACTTTATAAACCTCTGATCCTAATTTAATAAGACATTTAGGAGCATTAACTCTGAATAATCATCCTTTAAGAACATTTTCAACAACTTTTCTGAGGTGCTTTGGAGTTTAGGATTTCATTCGATCTTAAAAATGTATTCAGGCTCTGATACAGTCCAACACTTTGTAGTACATGTGTACGTTTTTTTGCTTAACTGTAGTTTCTCTGTTAGTTTGAGTGCGTTTCCTCTGCAGTCTGAGTAGAGAGAAAAGAAAGTGGTAAGTTGACGCCCGAGGAGGTCAACATGATTTATCCAGCTGTCAGGAAAAGACATTATGGGTCAAAAACAAGAACTCTAAATAAATCTGTCCGATTTTAACGTGTGAGCAGATGACTCTGCCTAAAACAAATCCTCTACATCCTTTGTGAGTGATATATACACCTCAGGACTCACCCTTGACCCTTGGCTGTGTGTTTGGCGCTTAGAGTCCAGGGCAATATGTTTAGTTTAGGTTCATCATAAAAACGTCCTAAATTAGTGAGTCTGGTGCCCAGAGCTATCACCAGAATGAAACAGACTCCTATGGGCTTGGTTGGTATGATTTATTTAAAATTAGTTCTGTTATATTTTTGTCAAGTTGTTTTTTTTATTATTATTATTATTATTATTATTATCTTTTACAGTTTTGTGCTTAGAAAATAAATTTATATTTATCCTAAAAGGGCTGAATTTGAGGCAGAAACATCCTCTGGTCCATGTTGAGTGTGGTACACACCAAGTCCCCAAACAACACTGTGACTACCTGTAGCCCTGTATACTATAGGCCCACTTCCAGGATTGTAGATACCTGTGATGCTTATTAGTGGACACTAATTTTTTTTTAGGGGTACCATCATTTTTGTCCAGGTCTGTTCCCTAAGTGTATTTATTTTTATAATTCAATTGAAGCACGGTTGAAAAGCAGCGTCACCTTTCAATCAGCACCTGAAAAGATTTATTACTCTGAACAGATGAATCAACAGGCCTTAAGTTAATTTTAGGTAGACTGGCGGAGATTAGGACCCCTCTGCCTGTTGAAAAGATGATTTTGATGTGTTTGATGTCTTGGGGTGCGCTGCATTTTTTACCCTTTCATCATTAATAAATGAAACAAAGTTGTAAAAGGCAGCGGCCCGCGGTGGAAGACAGGGAGTCAGCACTCTGAGTAATTTCCGATCCGTGGCTTTGATGTGCTGAAACCCCGTTATTGTTGCCTGCTGACAATGAGGCTTGGTGAGTGTGTGAGTTAATGGGCCCTGAGCCCAATAAAGAAAGCATCTGTCTCCCTGGATGAAAGAGTCTCTTGATGACTCCTCTGTTTTGTTTCTGTGTGTCTTTTGTCTTTTTTGCCTTTTATTTTTTAGTAAGTTGTTTTATTTACCGATAAGATGGTTTTTCAGGCTAAACGCTGCCAGGTTTAAAGGGATACTTTTCACCTTTTTCATATTTCTAAATCATTTTTCTTGAACCAGGAAATTGTTGCTAAAATTACCCTTTACAGGGTTAATGAAAGCTCATCCAGCCCCTTTTACCCCCGTGGTCAGAATATTCCACTTGCAACTTCAGATTGGCAAGGTGCTCTGTTGGGACTTGGACCTGACATACCTGGTGCTACAGTCTGGTTCCAGCATGTTTCCTGCATGGTTTAGGTCATGAACACAGCTGATTTGTTTATTTAGTGATTAATTACTCCTGTAGACACTGAAGAAGGTTATGGAGACATTTCAGCTGTCAGATTAAAGTGTTAAAAAGACAAATGCACCATGAGGAGATAAGTTTTGCTTTCAATTCTACAAATGGACAATAGGGGGTGCAAAAGCAAGCCAAAACTGCCTAGTTTCCCTTTAAATCACTGCTTATTCAGTTAGCCTTCTCCCTTCTTTTTTCTTTTTAGGGTAAAAAAGGAGACCCTGGCATCTCACCTGGTCCAGCACCTAAAGGAGAAAAGGTAAATCATGCTCACATAATACAATATCTGGTGACATTTTTGTTTTTCTTTTGCTAGCTTCTGGTATACTTTTAATAACTGCTAGAGTTGAAATTCATCCATTCTCATCTTTTAAGGTACTAACTTTGTTTTTGTTTTTTGTTTTTTTCAGGGAGATTCAGGGATAATAGGCCTTGTTGGACTGCCTGGCCAGGAGGGCCGAATGGTAAGACTGAAAATTCACCTTTTTATTGCAGAAATTGTCCTTAATTCCCTTTATTGTCTTATATTTAGGAGAATGCAAATGAGAAATGCACTCTTAAATAACATGCACTGTTTGTAATATCTTGTCTGTCTGACACTTTGCTGTCTCACCAGATTCTGTGCAAATGGGTGTTCGTTTGGTAGGAAGTGTTTAAGAAACAAACAAAAGGAGATTGTTTTTTGTCAACAAGGAAAAGATGATGGCAGTCATGCAATCACATAAAATTGTCAGCTTAAACTTTGGTCACAGTTTCAGTTGTGCATGTTTACGGGGATTTCACAGAGATTTTGGTTGACAAGAGAGTAATATCACTAGCTAGGAGTGAGTCCAATAGGAGCTTTTCTTTGTCTCAGCAAATTTACGCTCAGTGAAAAAATAAAGAAATAAATTTGCTAAAGTGTGTGATGACATAAATGTTCTACTATAGATTCCAATAAGCAAACAACACATTCATTGTAAGTTGAATATTTCACATATTCAGCAGCAGTACACACACACACACACACACACTGAGTATAGCTGCCTACTTGGCAGCAATCTCTAAAACACCCTGTAGGATGATTTGAGTGGAAGGGTCTTATCTTTATCAGGGTTGGTGATGTTAATGCTCCTCTAGCTTTGCTCAGTCACAGAAAGAGAAACAAAAAGCCACATAAGCCTTACACATGTCAAACAAAGTGTAGGAATTATGAATTAATCGAATACAGCAGGTAGAGTGCAGAGATGTAAAATACATCTGCTTGTGTTGGCTTTCTTTCCTGAATCCCAGCTTCTTGTATGGGGTCAGCCTCCAGCAGCGTTTCTACCTCAGCTTAACATGTGGCTCTTGTTAGGAGACTGCTTGTGCGTTTAGTGTGTATGTGTCCATTTTAATGTATGTGCCTTTCGCTTTCACACACACACACACACACACACACACACACACACACACACACACACACACACACACACACACACACACACACACAGAAATTTTTCTGAAACCCAGGAGCATTGGCCCCGCTGAAATCTGATTGCCCCTGACGTGCCCCTGTCCTGTCACTCATCTGTCCTTGGTGAGATGCTTAGATTATAGGTGGATACAATTCCAAGTCCAAACACTGGTAGTGCTAACGAATCAAGTAGGAATTTCCAGTGAGAAATCTTGTGTAAGGAAGTTTGGACCTCTATAAATATCGTGGGCCCTTGTTAGCCCCATACTCAGAAAAATCCTAGATCCGCCGCAGCCTAGAAATGCTGTTTTATAAACCTCAAAAGCCAGTTATGACTCCTGCTTATCAGCGTGACATCATAACCCAGAGAGTTGTTGCCTCAGTAACTTCATCAACACACATATACATTGACCCACAGAGGATGACATCATCGGAGCATACACTAGGTATTGGTCAGTAGCCACAAACATGTTCAATTAACCACAAGGACTTCATTTCCGTTTTGCACACAAATACAAAGAAGCTCAAACTGCACAGAACAAAACCCACAAGTCAAATGTAGTTCTTTGCTTTTCACTGATGCATACACGACTCTGCATCCCAAATGCAATTTAGTTACAAATTTTGTGAATTCAAGTGCTTATTTTTCTTTTTTGCTCAGGTTTAAAGTCTGCAATAGAGGTTTTTTCTTTGGGACATGCAGCAACTATTAGAATACATACTGGCTTTAATAATTAGACCACCCTAACAGAGTCTTTACACCTCTTTAGCTGCTTTAGTACTCAGTATCTTTTGCTTTGGTGGTTTAGGAAGACAAGACAACAGACACCTTTTCCCTGTGTTCTCATCTGTATTTCTTTTTCCTTCCACACTCTGAAACACACACACAAACACACACACACACACACACACACACACACACACACACACACAACTGTACAGTCTCTAAATCTGCCTTAGCTTGATGCTGGGAGCGGGAATTCTGGAATTTGGCTGCAGGTTTTCCATGGAAAACTTCTAATGGAGAAAGCAGTGGTGCTTTGAAAGCATTATAGCTGAGTGTGATTTTACACCGCTGGCCAGGCCAAGCATGTTCCGCTCTTTACAACATTTGTTCTACTAAGAAGAGCCTGAATGGCTTTGCAGTATGGTGTGCAAGGTCAGGGAGCGGGAACGTACACAGAGCCAAACCTCAGTTACAAGGCCGCATTACAAGCCACACGTCTTCCCTTCCTGCTGCATCCCTCGGTGTGTCTCCACACACACACACACACACACACACACACACACACACACACACACACACACACACACACACACACACACACACACAATCTCTCACTTCTTGTCCATCTGTTTTTCACTAGTTTGTCCCCGTTTTCCTCTTGAAGAGTCAAAGTGTGGAGTTTAAACTTTCAGCTTTTTCAGATCTTCATTTTCAAACATAAATCTTTCTTTTCTTTTTTTGCAACTAGTTCTCTTGGATGGTTGCATCTGCTTCCTGTTAATAGGTGCAGTCATCAGTTTGTGTGGCAGATGTGATTAGAAAATCATCATTAAGTCAAATTTGAGTAAATTATGGAGCAAGACATGTATCTTGCTGCTCCTCCGGATCGAAAGGAGCCAGTTGAGGTGGTTTGGGCATCTGGTCAGGATGCCTCCTGGACGCCTCCCCGGGGAGGTGTTTCGGGCATGTCCTGCCGGCAGAAGGCCCCCGGGTCGACCCAGGACACGTTGGAGAAGTTACATCTCCAATCTGGTCCGGGAACGCCTTGGGGTCCTGCCGGAGGAGCTGGTGGACAAGGCCGGGGAGAGGACGGCCTGGAGCTCCCTAGTTGGGATGCTGCCCCCGCGACCCGGACCCGGATAAGCGGAGGAAGACGACGACGACGACGACGACGACATGTATCTCGACACTTTTTTGGCAACAGTTCAGTAAACTGTGACTGCTTTCAGACACACCTATAGGTTTTTATATCTAGTCTACATGTGTATGTTTTTACATGTGTGAGCATTTTAGGATGAACCTATGTAACCTTCTCTGCAACATGAATCTTTCCACCAAGCTTCCATGTGTATATCTGTAAAAGTATTAATCATCTTTCTGGGTAGATGTTCGTTAAAGAAAAAAACTCATTTCCTTTAAAAAGAATTCTGTGAAATTTCTCACAGCCTTAATTGCCATCGTCCAAATTGTTATGTTTAGGTTCAATCCTAAAAACTATTTTATGTGTAAACTAAGAAAATTTTGTAGGAGTTTATGCGTGATGAGGAATTTTCCTGCCTCCAGACTGATTTAATGTTTAGGAAACATTTTCACAAGAACAAACAAAAAGTTTGTATTGTTAAAACTGAGGTCCATATCGTGACTTCATCAAGGAGAGGAAGAGATTCTGAAATTGTTATAGCACCTATCTCTGCTCCGCCTCCCCTTCAGGAAGGAGTAGAAAGCCATGCCTCAAACCACACACACACACACACACACACACACACACACAGCCTTGTAGCGCTAACAGACAAGTAATGTTTTCTGCATGTTCCTGCTCAGACACCTGATTCTAACAGCTGAATTATCTCCTCAGCCTTCATCTGGTTCTGCAGGAGCCGCCAATCACTCGTTTTATTCAAATCTGCAGTGTTCAAGCAAGGAAACATCTAAAACCAGCACTCTTGAAGCTAGCAAACCCATGCTAATACTACAGCAGGCTAAAATAATAGTATGATGCAGCGCAAAGTTAAATGCTACACTAATCACTTTGCTCAAATACACAAAAAATATCATAAATGCCTATTTTCCCCCTTCCTCTTTAGTAGTGGTGTGCATCTCTACCTGCCTCACGATTCGATCCGATTCCGATTATCTGCCTAAAGATTCGATTTGAGTCTGAAATGCATCACGATTCTTCACACAAAATTTTCATTACTTAATAAAAGCAGTAGAATAGTTTTCAATTTCTTTTTGATTTCAAAATCCCTGAAAAACAGAACATTCATCTATTCACTATAGTGAGCAATAATTTTTAAAGTGTGCTGCCTATAATTACTTGAATAATATAAGAAATAATGTTTTCGGTAGAGCAGCTTTAAGATAGAATATTACTGAACTTAAAAATAGTAAACAAATACTGTGTTAAGTGATTCTTTCACATCCAGGATCCCAAAACCGAAATTAGCCCAGACATCCGATTTAAATGTAACGGGTACATCTTTGATTACTGGTAATGTTGGCCCTGTATCCCTGTCCGCCTTTTCTGTTTTAAATTGGCGCTAGGGCAATGCAGTGCGCATGTCATTGCAACTCTGCCCCCAGAAGTAATTATAAAACCTCAAAACTTTATTGTCCTGCATAGACATAGACCAGGGGTCGGCAACCTGTTCCCATCAAAGAGCCATTATTACCCGTTTCCCACAGTAAGCAAAACACTGGGAGTCAAAGTTATCTTTCATAAGACGATAATCAATAAAACGATTTATATCAAGTGGATCCAGAAGTAGTAGCCCGTCTCTGCTACAATATTTTGATATTTTTCACCCTGTTGGTGGTTTTACTGAGCAGGTGCCACTTTTGTCATACGTTTCTTTTTAAAACATGTTTAGACTGTTCAGAATACAGATCCAGGCTCTGTCACGTTTGATTGTTGTAATTAAACTTTGTAGGTGGGGAAGGTCAGAAAAGGATCCGATCAATTTGTTTTTCCCTCGTTTACAGTGACGGAGATAACGGCGCAGTGCGCCTGGCTCTGGTGTTAATCAAGTTAAATTATATCTCTTTGCAACAATTTTAACAAGAAAACAGAACAGTTAAAAGCAGGGCTTGTGTTGACCGGATAGTTCCCGTATTTGACCGTTTAGTTTGACGGAGAAAGAATAGAAAGAATTACCCCGACGCATGCAGATGAACTGACACTTTATTCGTTTCGCGCAGATGTAGCTAAATCACTCAAGAAATGATTCCCATCTGAGCTGGACACTGAGCTCAGCGCAGCTCACTGTCAGCGCGTACGTACGGCGCACAGCGAGCTGAAGATGTGGAGAGGGGCTTGGAGCACGTCGCAGAGCCAGAGCGCATGCAGGAAGATTCCTCCGACCGAAGCGAGACTTGTCACTTAGAAAATGTTCCCTGATGATGAAACTTTGGCTGAATAGTAATTGTTCCTGTCTCCAATGTGGCGACACATCCAGGAGCTGAGGAGAATCCCAGAATCTCACATCCTCGTCAGCTCAGAAAGCGCCGATATGATTACGCACAAGCGTGACGCGTCAACCCGGTCTCACAGCAAGACCGGGTTGGAACTGTTCAGGTTTACGCAGACAATCTTTACATTTAGAATTAGCTTACAGATGTAAAATTAATGCAGTAAAATATAAAGCATTTTATTTAAATATCCATTCATTATTTTACAAGCACAGAGAGCCGCATCAGATGGATGGAAGAGCCGCATGCGGCTCCAGAGCCGCGGTTGCCGACCCCCGACATAGACATAGGGAGAAAATCTCATTATGTCACGTTGCTGCATCGATGCGGAATCATGCACGGCTGAATCGCGATGCATCTTAGAATCGATCATTTTTCCCACCTCTACTCTTTAGTTAGCTAGAAGTTTACGTGGTGATTTTAATTCATTACAGGTCAAGTTAGCATTCAAGCTAGGTTGGTGTGCTAAACAAATGATCATATATGTAGATACAACATGAACTGGCGCTGCCTATTGGGGCTGGCATAGCTGCGGGTCGCCATCTTGGATGGGTCTCCATACCCAAGAAACACATTTTATTATACTTTTTGACAAAATCAGTCATATGGTATGGCATGATAGTTAGAATATAAATGTAATAAAAAATGTATAAATTATTATAAATTGAAATCTAAAATCCCAACAAATAGGCTAGAAAAGTCGATAGTAATCCCATGAGATCTGTTTTCAATGGTACGTCAGTTGTTGTAGGCTAGACAAAAGACAGGTAGTTGCTCATTCTGCTTAGACTCCAGTTGTGATTAGCTAGTGAGGGACCCATTCAATATGGCAGTGATGCTTTTACGCTCTCCAGTGCCCAAAAGCGCATTTACATATTCATGTCTATAGACTCAAGCAACTGCATCAGCCCGCAGTGCATGCTGGGAAGTGGGGGCCACGCTCGTTGACTGACAGCTCCCTCTTGTCTCGCAGCTCTATCGGTCAATGCTCGAGTCTAACGTAAATGATACATTTTGCTGTAGAGATCAGGGAACTTAGGGGAAATATGAATTATGAAAGATTACCTTTTCTATATCACAGAACAGGGTCAGATAGTCGAGTTTAAGTATATTTGAAGTTACTTTAAAATGTTCAACTACAAACCCCGGCTTTAAGGGGCACAACTCTTGTCCACAGACAGACCACCAAACCTGGAGTGCTAATTAACTCTCATTTGACTCTGCCTGCCTTTTGAAACTTTTATGTAACAGAAAATACAAATTTAGAAAAAAGACTATTCACAAAATATTTCTTTTATATATAACTAGTTTTTTTTCCATGACATCAATTTATCTGATGCTCTAAGATCTGCTTCAAACTAAAACTATAATAATCCTGCAGCTCTCTGTTTTAACTGACAAATGCTCATCATCATCATTTTTTTTTTTTTTTTGCATGTTTCCAAAGTAGTAGAACAATTCTTGCTTTGTTTTCCAGTAGTTGTTTGATTATAACTCTGCCTGCAAGAAACATGTTGTTTAAAATTTGCGGTTCCACAAAGAGGAAGAGCCTTTTTCCCCCATGGTGCAGGTTTCACCCTAATCGTCCGTTCATGTTTGTTTGTCCGTCTGCTGGCAGGCATCTGTGTTTATGCTCCACTGTACGTGCACTAAATGCGTGGAGCCAGATGATTACTGAAGAGTTTTCTGGCTTCATGTTGAAGAGTAGCTTTGGGGAGAGAAAGATGGAAAGAAGAAAATCTGAATTAATGAGTTAAACTGTTGCTACCAGCTTATTATCCAATGGAGGCAGGGGAAGACACGTTTTCTGTGGTGCAGATTCGTTAACCAAACATTAGTCTGCACTCATTTGAGCACCCTCAAAGTGAAGAGCGGTAACAACTTTGTGGAGTTTCACATCACTGGCAGACAGAAACGTGTCTTCAATTTTGTTGCTGCCCAAATGTGCTGAGCTCTGCCTTGGGGCACTCTTCAGCGTGATGGGTAGGAAGGGGTAGAGCTTATAGGGTGATTTTGAGGCATATGTTTTAAAATGAAAACCAATCTGGTGGGTTCATCTGATTGCACACACATGCTCGTTAAACAAGTGGTCCTGTAAACAGGAGCAGACTGGTGGGAATGGCTGCTCACATTAGTAAACTCATAATGAGTGAGATAAGGATCTGAGAAGATCCCAGTGAGGTGGAAAGGCTGTGTGTAATATATACAGGATGCTCTTCATGTGTGTGGCTAAGGCTCTGCTTGGGAAGATTAAAACCATTTACGTGTTTGTACTTTTAAGTAAGCCATGTAGTAAAAAGAGGAATAACGAGGCAATGAATCTTTGTGTGAACGTGGGCGCACGTGTGTGTGTGTGTGTGTGTGTGTGTGTGTGTGTGTGTGTGTGTGTCTGTGTGTCTGTGTGTGTGTGTGTGTGTGTGTGTGTGTGTGTGTGTGTGTGTGTGTGTGTGTGTGTGTGTGTGTGTGTGTGTGTGTGTCTACAAGATGGATTACACTGGAAAGATGGTGATAAAAAAGAAAAACTAAAATCCAAGAGCAAAGGCTAAAATTGTGTGATCACCATCATATTTAACACATTAGAAAAGTTCATTCTAGCCAAACTCGCTAGTAAGTAAGTGTCTCCATCCGTGTTCTTTCCATGGATGAGAATTCCACTTATTCTTGTGTAATCCACACACCTTCCTGCTCGTGTCGCTGTCACCACTTGCAAACATTTGTTTTTTTGTCTGTCACTCGTCCAATTCCAAACATCTTTTGATTTAAATTAATAGAGCTGATAGGAAATTGTCCTCAATTCTGTCAAAATGAAGCTTTAGGTTGGCAATAAAAGAGTAACGAAGTGATCCTATGTAGATTTAATTGCATACAAACTATATGTGAAGTGTGTCGTTGCATCCTCTCCTCCTGGAATCAGAGGATTTACAAGAACTCTGAAAATCTTGGCTCAGTCTTCTAGGAAAACGGGACAACAGGAGTCTGTTTTTACTTTGTGTTTTTCCCCTCCCATTTTTATCCTGGCTTTCACTCTATCAAGCTGTGGTCTGGGATCACTTGTCCTCCCTTTTTCATTTAGTTTTTCTACACTCTTTTTCTGAGGTTTGTGTTTCTTGAGTCAGCAAAAGTGTTGCCGAACACTGAGAGCTTCGACTGGCCTTCGTCCTCCATGCAGTCTGCGAGTGCTGCTATCTGACTCAAACAGGAAGGCATTTAAATCCCCAACATGCCATGGACCTGGCACCATTAGTCTATGAACACAGCCAATGGAAACTCTGATCCTTTGACAGATTGATTCTTTGCACATGGCAATACATTTGTCAGCTGTAGCGTGCATATTTGTAAATGTTGCAAACCAGCCTATCGCAGACTCAGAAATCCTCATAAGATTTTTGTTTTGTTTTGCTTTTCTGTGATCAATCTGTTTTATTACCCTTTTATTCTTATTATGTCTCATTTTTGTTTCTCCCAGGGACAGAAAGGTCACCCTGGTCCACCTGGACTTCCTGGAGAGCCTGTAAGTGTCTTTCTCCACATCATACGGGATTTGAAAAATTACGTTCTCTCATGTTTCCTCTAATTTTCACATCCCATTAACTTCAAACTCACAGAGAATTCTCATTTTATTGTGTGTCTTGCAGCTCAATCCAAGATTAAGCACTTGCATTCTCAAGCGTTTCACAGTGTCTCTAACTTTTATTTAAACGATCTGTGTCCACTTCATCTACTTTAATTAGTGTCTCTGAAATATTTTGCTTTTATGTTGTCGAATATCTACTCCCTCAGTCGCACCTCATTCCCTAAATTATCAATCATCCCAGGCTGTTCAGCCTGTATGCGTGTGTGCACGCGTCTGTGAGTGTGTGTGCACCAAGTTGGCCTGCAGGGCAGTCAGAGTAGATTAGAGTGTTATGAAGCACCGTTGAGGACAGACATCTGGCCATAGCACTGAGCTACAGTGATACTCCAGGATATTAGAAAATGATGCCAAAGGGAATGAAAAAAAGAGTTTGAAGAAGCGGAAACAAGCCAAGTAGGCCATCGGCGACACTCAACGTCATTACAAAGCAGCCTAGTTTTTTTTTGTTTTTGTTTTTTTTTGCTCTTCCTGTCATTGCCTTGTCAGGAGTTTGGTGATGTTGGTGTAGGACACAAAAAGCAGTAACGCAGGAACAGCCAGGTAAGGTGGTAATTAAGTCCATTCATTTAGTAAAGAATTCAGGAGAAAACGTGATGAACCAACAACCACAGGAGACAGGAACAGGGTATAACTACACACAGCAACGTGATCAAGGGAACAGGTGTGTTGACTGGTGATTACTGAATGGGAGGCAGGTGTGACCAATGAGCTGAGTGGAGAGGCAAAACACAGAAAAAGAATACGGTAAACTAAAATGAAAATATGGGAGAACAGGTTTGGTCGGACTGCTAGAAACTGGGGGAAGGATGGCAGCATGATGATGACCCTATAGGGGGATAGGAGACAAACACAAGTGGACACATAGAAGAGAAAGAAATGGGAGGAGCTAGGGGGATGAGGACACACAAACATCCAACAGGGGAGTATGTGGGAACAGGAGATAGTGGAACTTGTGCCGATGAGGTGTTGGAGATATGAGGGGGAGAGGAGATATTTGGGGGGACGACTGAGGCCTAGTCCATACGTAGCCGGGTTTTTTTTTTATAAATATCCGCCCCTCCAAAAACTTGCATCCACACCACCTCGTTTTAAAAAAATCTCTATCCACACGTACCCGGATAAATACCTTGTTAAGGACATGCCAGACCTGTAGGCGGCAGTACTTCCCCCGTTCTTAACCTCGTCCTTCGTCTGTGGTCTTCCGCAAGGAGCAGTAATTCCGCTTGCAAACACAAACAAGCAAAAAGCGCTTGGACAGTTGATAAAGCGAGCGCAGCTCTGAGGGCATCCATGCTGTCGGCTAGTGTAAACACAGGTCGCACACGTGATGTCAGCATTTTTTTGTCGCGGAAAGTGACGTTGCGGACCTTAAAACTCCGGTTTTGTCTGTCCACACGCAGACACCCAAAACGGAGAAAACGCAGATCTTCACTTTGGCCGGAGTTTTTAAAAAGATCCGTTTTTGTGTGGATGACAGGCCAAAACGTAGAAAAATATCTACGTTTTGGCAGATCCCCGGCTACGTGTGGACAGGGCCTGAGATAGGAGGGTTGCAGGCTGGAAGTCAAGTGACAAGTGCAGTGAAGTGGTGTTGAGGTTTCTAGGTGGCAAAGGGGTGGTGAGGAGGATTTAGGGCAGGGGTAGGGAACCCTGTTCCTAGAGAGACGCTATCCAGCACGTTTTGGAGGTTTTCCTGCTTCAGCACACCTGATTTTAATCAGCAAGTGATTATCAGGCTGCTGCAGAGTCTAATGAGCTGCTTCACAGGTGAGTCAACTGTGTTAAAGTATGGAAACCTCTTAAACAGGGCTATTCAATTCCGGGCCTCGAGGGCTGGTATGCAGCACGTTTTAGTGGTTTCTCTGTTCCAACACACTAGATTCAGTGGTTGACTCACTTGTGCAGCAGCTCATCAGGCTCTGCAGAAGCCTGTTAATCACCTGGTGATTGAAGTCAGGTGTTGAAGCAGGGTTGATACCAAAACGTGCTGGATACTGGCCCTCCAGGACCAGGGTTCCCTACCCCTGAGGGTGTTAGAAGTGCCAGTCCACACTCAAGATCAGTAGGTGGCAGTAATGCACCTCAACGCTGCTTGCTAACCATCACAAATCCCAAAAGAAGATGAGGACACAAGACATGGCACGCCACCTTCCATGTTCCCAGTATCTATCACAGGTTTGTGAACTGGTGCTAGGTTTAATGGTTGTCTTAGTCAAAACGTCCTTCTGAGCTTGTTTTTATACATTTAAGTTGGTGGACACATAACTATTAGGATTAGCCCAGCTGTAGCCAGATTAGGTTGTTAGGTCATCAATAACAGGATGGAACATTTTTCCTCATTGTTAAGATTTGTTCTTACTTTCTAGCTGTCATATGTTTTATTAGTGACGTAAGAGCAGCGTAAGCCTCGGATTGACCCATATTCAAGAGAGCCCACATCATCAGGATGATGCCATCAGATTAGGGAGTACCTTTCTGCTCTTTATGAAGAATAAGTACTTTTTCTCATAGTATTATGTCCTACAGTGTGTCATGCGTCTTCCAACGCCCCCCTGTTTCCCACAGAACTGGCACTGGTTCTCATGGTCACGGCTTTAGCTCAAAGTCTGAATCACCAAGCTGCCAGAGTCAGAGGAGTAGGCATTATTGGGAGCCGAGGCCAGCTGGCGTGCATGTAGTGCTGATGCCTCGTTGTTACTGTAACACACCGCTGGCTGTGTGCAGAGCCACCCCCTCTTCATACTTTCTGCTCTCCAGTCCTAAACCACACTTGGCCAAAGACTTGTCTGGTTCTAACTAGCCACATTATGCACTATATTTATCCAGGAAGAGGGAATGGCAAGAAGTGAACACAGTGTGTCAAAGAAAGTCATACACAGACACTTGTGCTCTACGAAGCTTGGACACAACCTGCTGTGTGTGTGTGTGTGTGTGTGTGTGTGTGTGTGTGTGTGTGTGTGTGTGTGTGTGTGTGTGTGTGTGTGTGTGTGTGTGTGTGTGTGTGTGTGTGTGTGTGAGTGTTATGCTTTCCGACAGTTACGTAAACACACAGAACCTCCTAATCAGCATCTAAACACAGACAGCATTTGGCAAAAGGCGGAGGAAAATCAGAACAGTTTCCATCAAGGTCATGTGTGTAATGCATGTGTGTGCACGTGAAAGAAACATCAAAGTCCCCTGTGACGCTCTTCTAAATCTAATTTTACATGATTCTAAACATGTGCAACCACTCATGGCACAGTTCATGACTTAATCTTAGTCATCATAATGTTTAGCTTTAGAACCTTTAAAACCAGTGGTGGCCCCAGAAATTGTTCAGGGGGGGCAGGTGAGGCCTGTGTAAATTTTGGGGTGGCACACCAATTTGGTCGAGGAGCGTTTAGTTTAAAATGGCTGCCACTTGCATTCATTTGAAGCGTTGTTTGTGTGCATCCCTCGAAATTAGACGTGTCCGATGCTGCAACATACGAGTAACCAGTAGGTGGAGTTGACAAAACGTGCCAAACACATTCACCATGGTGACTCCGTCTTTGGTTTAGAGGCCTTTCACACCATCTAGTGAGCTCTCTTATTGACGCAATGGTTGCTTTGGTCGTACCCACAAATCCGGCTCTTTATTCGGTCTGAGTTATCTAGTGCGCCTCCTAGGGAAACATTCCACCACTACATGCAGTGCCGTGTGGCAGCAAGTATGTGAACAAAGACGAAGCCTGCTGCCTGTGCCAACGCGAGGTTAAACAGCATATTCCAGGCCTTAGATTTGCGTTGCGTGTTTCTTTATTCTTTTTCATTGAAGAAAAACATGCATAAAATTTTTTAAGCATTTAAAAAAAAAACTACATTTTTAAATATTTATTGAAATTGTTTCAAAACGTATTACTTATAGTTTAATTTGCCTGTCGCAGTCTTGGCCAGAAGAATCCAAAAACTATTGCAATTAATAAATTCTTTGAAAATGCTTAGCCTCAGTGACATTTATTAAGTAAAGATTTATTAGCTCTATAAATATAAATGTAATTATTGGCCAATCCTTGGAGGCGCCACTGTTTAAAACCTCTTTGAGAAAGTTATGGTAAATTTCTATGAATTTTGTTAAAAGTTGTCATCCACATACTAAAACCTTTAATACAGATTTTAAGTATTAATGGTATAAATATTAATAGCTTTCCTAATCTGTCCTAAAAAAGTATGTTTCCATTCTTAAACATTCTTCATCATTAATAGTAAAAACCATTATCTTCAATAATACATCTGTAGCCGAGCCAACCCAGTCCTCCATGTTTTAGGTATTTCCCTGCTTGAATGCTCCTGATTTAAATGAATTGGTATTTTAAAAGCTTCTGCACAGCTTGAGGAGCCAGTCAAGATATTTTGAATCATGTGAGCACCTTTTTGCATCAGCTACTGTTTTACTACTTTTATGTTTGATCTCTGAGCCATTTTCTAATGACGATGCTTATGATTTCTGAACATTTATGACTTGTCTGTGTTCAGTGTTTTTGCAGAATACTTTACGTCTCCAAAGAAGATTAAAAATGAAAGAAAATCATTCCTGTTAGTAAAGGAGGAATGGATGGAATGTACATTTGATGCACCTCTATTGGGAATAAACACTGAAAACCCTTTTAAACTCTTTTCACTTCAAGGCGAAACCGCCTTTACTCAGCTGCTCAGAGTGACCCGTTTGTTTATGTTCCTTTAATTTTGCTCAGCCACCTCTCTTTCCCACCTTCTCACTTCCCTCTGTGTTTTCCACCAGGGAGAGCAAGGTCCAATCGGAAGCCCAGGTGCCAAAGGTTATCCTGGCAGGCAGGTGCAGTAAATCCTCTACTGTGACTGGTACAGTTCTGGTCAGGGTCATAGTCAGGGCATGGAATAAATCAATTTTTATTGCATAAATTACTTTGATTGGCTTCTAAAAACCCAGATTGTGGGTTCTAAATAGATACCAAATTTATGCCTGTCCCTTTCATTTTACAACTCTTTTCTCAAGACATTATTTAGAAAAAAAAGATGTATAGTGGTTGAAATGTTGTGTCTAATATGTAGACGTTGACTTGTCATGAGCGAATTTATTCAGGTATGCTTCAGTGTTAAATTGTTAAAATAAATCTTCTGTCTTTATTTCAGGGTTTACCAGGGCCGATAGGACCAGTGGGGCCTAAAGGCGTTCGGGTAAGAAAACTCAACCCAATCTCGTCAAATCTACAGCTCAGTTTGGATTTTTCTTTTCCTAATAAAATCTCTAACACTGGTGCTTTGACAGGATTAGTAAACATCGCTTATCTGCAAGGCTGTCACCCCGATGGCTTACTGACACGTCTTACTCCAGTGTTTGTAGAAGGTGGCTGCAAATCTCAGTTAAAACACACAGAAAGGCGTCCGGCAATAGGCCACACACTACTACTCCTTTATGCTGTGGAGCTGATGCTGCATGAAAGCGTGTTTGTAAAGCTCAGCGGAACTACGTCCACATGCATGAAAGAGTTTGTGCACTTAGGTGCACCAGCGTCCACCTCTAGACACATAAACGTGATCCCACACACACCAATCCAGTGTGTAACTATTAAAAGTATGATAATATTGTTGTGCTTTCACTTGTTTAAACAGTGTGTTCTTATATACTGGCACTAAATTTGAGTGATAAGTATCTAAATACAAACACACACGCTTCAGGTATGCAATGCAAGACACAGATTTTAATGTTGCGTTGCAATAAAGCTCCTTTATCAGCTTTCCTTGGCTGTTCCGAAGTCTCCCCTGCCCCCGAAGGCTGGAATTTCCTGTTTAAGCTCCGTATGAGGCCCTGCTGTCTTCAGGAGGCATTTTAGTCCCCTCTTCCCCTCTCACTGAGCCACCTTTCTAGCATTCTCTCTCATTTGCTGCATATTCGTTTCATGTAAATGTGACCCATATCTCAACTGTTCTAGAGTTCAAGCTTGGATGTTTGCACGTGTTTTCCCGTGCGTGTGTGTGTGTGTGTGTGTGTGTGTGTGTGTGTGTGTGTGTGTGTGTGTGTGTGTGTGTGTGTGTGTGTGTGTGTGTGTGTGTGTGTGTGTGTGTGTGTGTGTGTGTGTGTGTGTGTGTGTGTGTGTGTGTGTGTGTGTGTGTGTGTGTGTGTGTGTGTGTGTGTGTGTGTGTGTGTGTGTGTGTGTGTGCACCACCACTGCACTGACTGTCCAGTGCGTCGCCCTGGCTATCTTCAGAGATCCCTGGCGTGAGGGTATGTGCCCTTGGACTACATCGTGGAAGCCAGCACCATGCAGTCCATGGGCATATACACTTGCCTCATGGCTTGGTTCTTCACGGAAGCCCACCTTATCCTTTGCTGGACCATCGACTCTTGAAACCTTAGAGCCAAAACGGAGCTGCTGTTCGTCTGTGTTCTGTTGAAACGCTCACAACGGTGTCCCTACTTTTTCCCTCTCCTCCTGCAGGGTTTCATTGGAATCCCAGGCCTTTTTGGCCTGCCTGGGTCTGATGGCGAAAGAGTGAGTCCTGATCAAATGTACATTTTGCCATGCATCATCAATAGCTGCAAGAACAAGCCCCGACCAACTTAGCTTATCCACCAGTGAGGTGATAGCGACGCCTCCTTTTGCCTGTTCAATTCAGCTGTCTTGTAATTTGTTACAAAGCGAGACATGGTCCCCAGCTGTTTGGGATGTTGCTGTGTAAAGCTGTGTGGGAGTGCAGATGACTCATATGACAAAAACCTTCTCTCAGAGCCTTTGAACTGCCTGAACCCCCCACCTCCTCTTTTTCTAGAAGAGGGAATGATTAGCGTATTTCTACTTGCTTCAGGGGGACTTGTGTCAGAGCAGAGGAGACTGTAATCAGGACCCCTCCATCACCAGCCAGCCAAATGGCTCATAAAACCTACAGTGTCTGCTCATCCAACCTCAAGAGAAAGTTTTGTTTATTCAAAATGTTAATGTAGAAAATCCCCCGTGACGTGACAGGAAGATGTTGAATCAGTTGCTACTCCTCTGCTGGAGCAGATGAGAGAAACCTTCAGGTTTTTGAATGTTTTTAACTGCCTGCTAGTGTTTTGTTTTGTGACAATGTCTGACATTTAATTTCTTCTTTCTGTCTTCCTCTTAACCTTTCTTTCGCCCCATCTGCCCTACTCCTGCCCTCGTCTGTTTGGATTTTCAGGGTATTCCAGGCGAACCAGGGAAGAGGGGCAAGATGGGTAGGCCGGTAAAGTTTTGTCTCAACATACTTTACAGAAAATCATTGTTAAATGTGATCAAAATGTGCTGAAATGTGTTGTTTGCATTGCATTGCCCACATTAAGGCAATTGCAGTGATGCAGTATAGCAGCTTGATGAGCACGTCGCCAGAAAAGTAACTACACGCTGCGGTGATCCGGGCCATATACTCGAATTGGTCCTCCTGGACCAAAGCACTAAATGGACCATCTACAGTTAGCATAACATTGTACTTTGGTCAAAAATAACTCACTTTTGTAAAAGATTGAGACACAAACACATGGTAGTTTAGATAAAAATAATAAAAATAACATTTTAACATGATCAGTAAGGGTTGTTAAAGCAAGAGCAAAACCAGTTTATTGCCATGAATCTCAGAAATCTGATTTTATTATCTGGTTTCAAGTTTAAAGAGCAAGTTCCCTGAGAAACCTTTTTTCTTATAAGATCAGTCACTTTGAGTTTCATATGCTGGCTAATTGTGAAAATGGTCTTCTACCCCTATTTCCTGCATTAGCCGCCAACAGAACATTGATGGGAAAATGCTCGGATAAGAAAAGCCTGACAGATCTACGTCACACTGAAATGAACATTCATGGACTTTCCCATCTTAGCTCACGACTAGGGAAGGCTTTTGCTGGTTTAGTGTCCAAGAGAGAGCCGAGAATCCTCGGCTAGTAGAAGCTAACCATTAGCATTAGCAACTCCACAACACAGCAGAACTCCTTCAGGCTTGTGTTATTTGTGAAGGCAAAACATCCACATTGCAGAACAAACAGAGTCAGTGGTAGAGTCGCATTGCTGTTATCCAATCAGAGGACATGTGTCTGAATATCAGGAAAAAAGCCTCAAAATTCTGCCTTCTTCTTCTCCCCTCTCCTCCGGCTAACTTCTACTTCCTGAAACAGGAGCACCAGAGCTGTTTCCCCCCACAAAAATCGACTCACAAGGCATTAATTTTTACTAGAAGTCACTACAAATGTATTGAACAAATGGTTTTTGAAATTATTTCTATGTAATTATGAAAGTAATTTTTGGAATTGAAATTATTTTGACCGAAAACATTTGGTTGAAGTACTTCATTAAATAAATAGGGTGCTTTCACAGAGCCTCAAATAATGTGATCAAATGTTTTGATCTAGAGCGCTGTGTCAAATAGGCACAATTTCCTCCCCAAGTCATACTTTTATTTCAGAAAGTTAACTTTATTCACCCAAAAATCAAAGTTGAATTTAAAAAATAATGTTAAACCAAAACTAAATGGCAACTCGTTCATGGACACAAATTAAAAATTTCCAACTTTTTTCTTTTCGTTTTCGGTTGTTTCCAAATGAATGTTGCCACGTTTAACATTAGACCTCACAAAGAAAATCTAATATCACACATAGTTGATGAGATAAATGTTAAAATCACCCTCATGGTTTCAGATTCTGCTGTCATTCTACACGTTTTTTCTCTAATGAGGGAATTTGATGAAAATAATCTAACATGAACTCATTTTTAAATGTATAACGGTTGCATAGATGTGGTTGTGAAAAGAAGCATATTCCTTGTCTATATATAGGTGCATCTTAAAATGAAGACATTTACTGGTTCTGTGTGCGTTTGTCAGATAGTGTTCAAACTCAGACTGGAGGAATGGCTTGAAGTGAGTGTGCAGCTATGAAACACTTCTGAGATCATTTTGCAGCTGTTCCTTATTGACTTTTCAGTAAATGCAGCAGCTGTGGGCCAAAACGTTCTGAGCACACAAACGGGTTTGCTGAGTGAGAATCTTTTCAGAAGTTAAGATTACTCTCTAATTAGAGAAAAGTTGGTGTGGATGCATTAACTCTATTAGTGTGGTTTTATTGGCATCTACATTCATGTTCTGTCACACACACACACACACACACACACACACACACACTGGAGATGTGTGGTTCATGATCTGACATGCTTCTGGCATGAAAACATTTTCTGGTTGTTTCACAGGTCGTGTAAGTCTAGAGGTATTGGGATGGAAGCACTGTCATCGTGTTTTTATCTGCCCCTGTTTGCAGTATGTTGTGGGTGATGCACGAGAGAGGCAGTTCGACCTTAAACGACATCCATACATGTTTACTATTGGCGTAGCTTTAAAAAGAGGAGATCAGGTTGGCTATGTAACGCAGATGGTTTTAGAATCCGCATCCTTCTGCTTCTGAATGGGAAACTGGAGAGCGTTTAACCAGACGATCCCTGAGAGACGATCCTCTCCTCCCCGATGGAGGAGAAACAACAGGAGTGCAGTGTGAACCTGAGCCAGACATTTTAATGGCTGTAACCACAACGCTCTCAAGGAAGTGCACACTCAGACACACACAACCAGTCGTCGACCAAAGAGCAACGAGGGAAACAATATGTCTAAAATAGTGGCGAGCATAAAAAGTTTCCAAAGTGCACCGCCAACAGCTCTCTCTGCCCGCCTCCCTTTTTATTATATCTGGTTTTGTTTATCTTTTGGCTTTTGTCTTTCTCACTCATCCATTGTAGTTTTTCACATTGATAAAAATGTTTGTCATCGTGTCAAAGCAAAGGCATGTTCTTATGATTCTCCTCAAAGAGTCACTTTTTCCTGCATTTGTCTGTAATATTTAACGTTGGGTCACAGATTTCTGCAGTGCTCACTTCGCACCATAAATATCCACCCTGCTTTAAGGTGTTCTAAACTTGCTCCAAAGCCTAATTAGAAACAGGAAAGAGCTTCTTTTTCGTCACATACTGTGCAGTTCTGATTGTCACGTTAAGTTAAACGGAGGAATTATTCTGCAAAAATTAAAAATATTCACAAATCAGGGACCAAGAGCTACATTTACTCTGTAGATTGTAATTTTAAGATGAAACAGTGATTAAAATGTTATCTAAATCATCTCTGCTCCTACAGAAATAACAGACATTTTGCGGAGGTCACAGTAATTGGTGTGTTAGAACAATGTGCTGAGGCTAGACTAACAACAGTGTTTCTGAATGTCTTGGTTTAAAGCTGCGTTGCTGTCTGCAGATGTGTTTTTTCTTTTCTGTACCACAAACTGTAAAAACTGTGTGATTAACTTCTCATTAACTGCTAAATGGACAGAAAAAAAAACTTGTTGTGGTCAAGTGTGTCCTGCAGACGGCCTACATCTCAAACAAATGCACATAATAGAGCCATTAAGCTCCATTTTGTACATATTTTTGAGTCATTCTATATTTAAAGAGGTCCTTCACGGAGAAAGCATTTTTTCGTATTAGTTTTGGAAATGATAGGTCGCTCTGAGTTTAACATGCAGACTGAACAAGAAAACAATCTCCTACACCCATCTCCTGCATTAGCTTCTGATAGAAAATAAATGGTGAAGCTCTGGGATTAAAAAATCCTGACAGATCTACGTCACACTGTCACTTAACATTCATGGACTCAGTCAATGCGACGGGGAAGGCTAGATAGATAGATAATTTTATTAAGGCTTTTGTTGTTTTAGCATCTAAGAAATAGCAGATAATGCCTTAGCTAGTAGAAGCTAACCATTAGCATTAGCAACTCCACCACACAACAGAACTCCTCCAGGCTTGTGTTATTTGTGGAGATAAAACATCAACGTTGCCGAGCAAACAATCAGCGAGTCACGTTGCTGTTATCCAATTCGAGGCGAGATGTCCAAAAATCAGGAAATATGACTCCAAATCTTGTCGTCTGCTACTTTCTCCCCTTACTGAATTCTCTGCGCTGAAAGAGGCGCACTGGAGCTTTTTTCCCCCCAGAGTGCGGCTTGCAAGGCATTCATTCCTGCTAAAGACCACTGCAACTGTATTATAAATGCGAGAGAAGTACCTTTCATGGTATTTCACTTAGCAACATGAATACAATCGGTGTAGATGTACAGTGAAACTATTTATCTTCTTTTTTTAATGTACTAAAACATATATTTGGCCTGTACAAGACACCTGCTGAGACAACTAACAGAAATTCTTCCAAATCAGATACATTTCACCTAACTTGTCAGACTTGATCTGTTTTTTTTATTCACCCAGCTGCAGTTTGTCTCAGCTCAAAGCTCATTCATATGTCAGAGAGCCTGAAACACAACATAACTTCTAGATTTTTACTAAAGAATATAATAAAGTATGTTACTGATAAACTTTAAAATGCTTACAGGTAAAATATATTTCAGCAATGCTCTGCTTTTGTACAGTTGAGCAGAGCATAGTTGTATTTGAAAGTAAATTATTTAACCCAATTAAATATTTACTACAGCCAGTGGCGCTCCTAAGCTGTGGCCAAGGGGGTCCGGGGCCACCTCAGGAAAAATGTTGGCCACCCTTTATCAACTTTAAGAAACCTTTCATGTTCACACAAACTATATATTCATCCTATTTATTTAATACAAACATGTTAAAACCAATATATACAAAATTCCCCATCTTCTGTCTTCATCAAAGTTATTCAGTATAAATACACGTTGAGTTTACACCCTTGTCTTTTAGTGTAGCCAACGGCGCCGATAACAAAGAGTCATTAGTTTCCTGAGTGGGGACGGAGTGGTCGCGGCCAGCTCCAGCTTGTTTTCTTAAATTGACAGAGCTCTGAAGCGACTCATTCTGGAAGGTACTGAAAATGTTAAAAATAAAAGAACTGAAATCACTTTATGTGAGAAGGATTTCATGCAAAGAACTTAAAGAACATGTTTTGTATCGACCATTAAACTGTTATAACTCAAAAAATAGTCATAATATTAGCTCTTTAAAGCTATGCTTCTTTTTTAGGAAATATGACAAGTTAAAGCACAAAATTAGATTCTGAAGCTCAAGCATACAACCTAGTTCAATTTTTTAAAAATAATCAAAATTGCTGAAGAAAGAAAAATGCTTTTGCTGTACTGAAATATGATTTCCCACACATCTCTGCAGATTTATTTAGGACTCTGAAAGATTTACAGTTTGTTAACCGTTTTAGTGTGGCAGTAAAAACACTGGTCTACCGTGTGCATTGCGGCCCATGCTACTTCTATACTTGTTTTAATTTATTGTTCAGGTTCCACAAGTCGTGTTCAGTGTCAGCAAACAGTTGTTAAGAAGAGGTTAAAAAAACTCCTGCTGAACGGTAAACAACAGCTATGGCAGTGGAACTACTAGATCAGCCCTGCAGGATTAACTAAGGATCAAACATTTTATTTCATTGCTTTGTTTTATTCATTAAATAAAGACCTTTAATGAACCCTAATGTTGCACCATTTATGAAATATAAAGTATTTGCTTAAGAAATCCCAATAATTTTAGTTTGTACATCCATGTTGTTTATGTCGCCCCCTAGTGGACACAAAATGAATTGTTAAAACATTTCCAAACAGAATTAAGTTCAAGTTTGTCTCTGATTTTAGGGGTTTCCGGGGGACTTTGGGGAGAGAGGACCACCTGGACCAGACGGAGAGCCGGTATGTTGCACACACACACAAACACAGCTAAAACATAACCAGCCTTCACACACACAGTTTGAGTGAAGGGGGGTTCACTTCTACACACACACTCTCTCCCTTGGTGGTTTAGCTGTGCTGCAGATTAAATTATGTGGCTGTGTTGTAGATGTGTCTTTTATTTTTTTCAGTTTTGTTTGAAGTCGATCTGGACAAACGTTTCTAATGGATTCAGTTTCATCCTGAGTCTTTTGACTGCTGTAAATACTCAGACTTGGAACTCATTTGTGAAAAGTCCACAAGATTAAGTGGAGAGCAGCTTTGAGAGCAGCCTTTTCCATTCACTACTGTAAACTGGCTGCAGCCAAGAACTTTAAATGATGTAAGAAGTTTGTGTGATTGCATTTAATTCTGGTGTGTCAGCAAGTCAAATCTGTAGCACGTTTCTTTCCACGTGAATGTAATTTTCATCTTTGGAAGACTGGTTCACCTTCTTTCCTACAAATTAATTATTTTTAGCAGTTGGAGTGTGAAGCACAAACATGCCAGTAAATGGTGGTTGGATGCATCATTTAAATTCATAACCGATCCCCTTCTTAGCTTGAAGTTTTTGGTTCTTCCTCAAAGAAAGGCTAACCATTCAGGTAAACTCTGTTGTTTCGACTCGTGAAACGGATCTGGTGTATCTTACAAATGCAAACGAAGACATTAGAAAATGAAAGACTCCTGGAAGCCTCAGAAAAATGTTTGGGATTTTTTTATAGTAGCAAATATATAAATATGTTTTATTTATAGAAACCAAACCTGTTTTATAGATATGAAGCTTTAAAAGGTATGTTTGCCTGTTTAATGGCTGCAAAGGTAAGATAAAGGGCAGATCTGCAGCAAAGTCACATTTTATTATTTTGGAAACCTTGAATTACAAATTCATATTTGATTATGCTTTTTTTTTTATTAAACTGTGTATTAAAGCATCTATTGAAGAACAAAATGGGTTGTAAAATCAAATGAACCAGCATTTTTGAATTATCCAGTGAGATGTTGGGTTTCGCTGCCTTTACCTCAAACCCATGCATGCACACAGACCCCCTCTCATGAGCTGCAATGAATACTGAGTTACTCTTCTAAGCATGTTTGTTTTTAAAAAAAGAACCACAACCCTAAAAAAATCACCATTTCTGCCCCGTCTCCATCTTTTCCCAGGGTGACATGGGAGCCCCGGGTCCAAACGGAGTTCTTGGACTTATTGTGAGTATTTCTCATTTTGATTATGTGCGTAAAACATTCTTTTCCCTCCAGTAAGACATAATTATGCAAGACTGAAATGAAAAGAAACCCAAAATGTCTGTCTAATCACAAAAACAGCACTACCACAGTTGTTCCTTAAACTGCCAGGACCTTTTCACAACAAACTAACCACAGACTGTTGGCTTTTAATCACTGAGAAGTTGTTTTAAATGTGAAACAGGATGGAGGATGTGTATTAAAGTTTGGTTAATGAAACACACATTTAGAAATGCATCTAAACCATCATTTCATTGACTATTTTTGGCCAGGAATTCATCCCTGCCCACCCATCACCTTGCCCTGCGGGCCTCCTAAGCCCAACGGCCACATAATTGTGTCTGATTATAACGTCTCCCTGGTTTCTCTTGTGTCCCGTCTTCAGCCGTCACTGTCACTCCTCCTGCTCTATTCCAGGCCACCAGTAGTGACAGTAGGCCTGTAATCCAGGGACTCGTTGATTATAGTTCTTCTGTGAACTTTGAGTCCTCTACACCCATCTGATTTGACACTAAATTGGACCAAAAGCAGAATGATTTAAATATTTCTTGGGGACTCAAAGCAATCAGCTCTGAATGCAGGCTGGCTGCTGTAGGAAAGAGTGAGAGCGTATGTGATACACTTTTATGTAACTTAGATGGGATAGTTTTTTATTTTCTCATTTGAAATATCAGTAAATAACTATAAAATTCCTGAAGAGATTTGAAAAACGGGCCTGCCTTGGCTGCAGCAGGTCCCTTAATTAAATTATTGAGTCATGTTTGCCCAGAATTAAACCCGAGGCCCACTTCTTAATTTTTAAATTTTGTGTATAAGCTGTATTTTGTTACCTACACCTCCACAGTAAAGACGTGCATCCCACTCAAGAGGCGCTAGACAAAGCAGGAGTGATAGGATTAGTGATCCCTGAGATCAGGGGAGCTGTGGAACAGACACTGCAGCTAAATCCGTCATTTAATGACTTCAAGCTCTTGTTTTAGATTTTCCCAAGTGTATTTTTAATTTTTTTCATTTGAACTTTCAGTACCAAATGAACTGATTTCATTTAAGGAGTCATTTCTGGGGTACGACATGCTTTGTCACATGTGTGAGTACGACACAATTCAAAGAGACGAGGGCTCTTTATTCCAGGCTTCAGATGAATCACTCTCTTGGCTTCTCCGTGTTCACATATTATCATCCATTGTTTTCCTTTTTTTGTTCTGTGTAACATGTTGATGGATAATCTGGAAGCAATGTTCTTGCATTTAATGAACAAAGTTAGATGATGTCCATGTTTTCTGTGTTAAAACCATGTCTGAGTCATGTCCTTATCTGTACTTTATACATGTGTTAGCACTGGATGCTGATTGGCTGTCCTCTTCTTCTTTCTGGCATCAGGGTGATATGGGACCTGTGGGAGAAATAGGCCTTCCAGGACCTGCTGGACTGAAGGTATTCTCACAAACAGACATTGTCTGCTCAGAGCTGTCTTTTGGACTTGATTTACAACAACAGAATGAAAAATAGAATTGAGTGCAGCTTCAGGATTGGACGAGTTCATGTGTGTGTTCCACGCTAAATATTCATGCATGAAGCCTAGGCTGCAGCTTTCTAACACATTTGTTGGTGCTCGTTCCAGGGGGTTCCCGGAAATCCTGGAGAACCAGGACTGAAAGGTGATAAGGTGATCTGAATATTCCTGTTATTGGTCTGTGTTTTAAGCAGCACGTCATGAATATTTACTCTTTGCGTCTTTTTGTTCTCATCTGTCGTCTTTTAGTTACAGATTATGCTTGTGCACAGGGTAGTATTGTTGAGCTGATACACACATCTGATTACACACTGCCTGGCCTAAAACAAAGTCACCCCATGGATATGTGATCTGTGGTTGCTGTAGTTTGTCAGGTCTAGGTCAGCAGCATTTTAGCCTATGAATCTAGAGAAACCGTATCAGTAGCAAAGATTTTGGTCTGCAGGTTGGTCTAGTAACACTCCATTGTAGTCTCAACAGGTCTATCATTGGCCCGAATGATTTTAGGTTGGGTCAGTCAGAGCGTTCCATGTTTGAGAGACGTTGGGCAGGCTTTGTGTCAGAGCTGTGATGGAAAAGACTACAAAAATGGCGTAGGCTCAGGAACAGCACTCGTTTGAAACGGCTTTGGCATCAACTTTAGATGATTTAGACTTTGGCTTTGCTTTTAGACGTGAGCAGATAGAAGTTTTTAAGTCCTTTATTTCAAAAAAGGGTGTATTTGCTTGTTCTTCTTCTTCGGTGGTGTAGGATGAACTGCCCCATAGACAGATATATTTGTAGTGATGAATAGCTGTACATCGCTCTGATTGGTCCTAGCACTGTCCAGTTGCATGCAGAGACAGTTTGAAAGGGAATCATAGATTCCGCCCCATGACCGAGGCTCTGTCTATGGGTCGTGGCCAGACTATTTATTCACATCTATAGGATGACTTGCCAGGCTAGCAACATTATGCATTCAAAGAATGAGGCCTTCTGGTTACCTGAATATACTGAATAACCACGTTATTCCATCAGTGGGGTTTTTTTCATCCTAGATGGCACGGGCATATTCCAAGATGACACTATCAGGCTTCATTGGGCTTAAATTGTGAAAAAGTGGTTCAGGGAGCATGAGACATCATCGTCACTTTTGGATGGCCACCACAAAATCCAGACCTTAAACCCACTGAGAATCTGTGGGAAGTGGGACTCACCCACCATCAATATCTTGGTTAAAAATCAATGCAACACTGGATTCAAATAAATCATGTGACACTGCTGAAGCTCACCGGAACAATGAAAAAGTGAATGTGTGACATAATCTAACTAAAGGCGGTCCAAAAAATATTAGTGTGAGACCTTTTTTTTTTTTGGTAGCAACTTTTTTTGGCCAGGTTGTGCATTTTTAAGCTAAGTTAAGTCATAATTAGCCAATTTCTTTGATAATCAGTCTTTTTTTATCTTCCCGATAATCCAATAATAATATTTTTAATAAAAGCCAATTGAAGAAGCCACTTGGAAAATGTAAAGATTTTTTTATTGTTAATGACACAACACAATTATTGATGCTCTTTGCTAAATAACTTTACTGCAGTAAAAATGTTTGATTCAGTAACAATTGGAAATTTTTGGAAACTACATGAAGAGGTAAATGGCACCTCTGCGTAGGCAAGACAAGGGAGCTTTATTTATGTAGCCCATTTCATACACAGAAGCAATTTAATTCAAGGAACACATATTTTTCTACATTTTTAGCCCCATGATGAGTCAAGAAGACTACTCAGAGCAGAACTGAATTGACAACATTTCTCAATTGTTATGTTGTTGAAACCTGGCTTAATCTGTAAAACATATGGTCCAACAGAATGCAGCAGTTGTTATCAAGTGGGTTTGTAAGACAGACTGACACCATGTGTACAGCTTGGCTATTTCAGCAAACTGCATTCATTTAGCATTCATGTTTATAATGCATTGGATGCTAATTGGTTTTGTGTGTTAAAAAACTGACAAAGTAGAAAATTACAGGACCCCCTAATGTTTTTCCATTTTTTTCTTTCCTTCTGTCCAAACCTCATCCACATTCCTGCATCCTTCTCACTCCATCAGGGGGAAATAGGGATTCCTGGAGACCAAGGGGAGATTGGGTACAAAGGAGATAAGGTAGATCACTTCTGCTGCTCATTTTGGCATTATTAACACATTCTTAACACGTTACCTTCTCATTTGCAATCCTCAATAGCTAATTTGTTGTGTGCTGTCTCCAATCTTTCAAATCCCATGTTGCACAGCCTTTGTTGAGTGGTTGCCTTTACAAAATTTCTTAGCCAGATGTTTGCTGTCAAGCTTATGGAAATTCTTATTCTAATCTTTCACATTTGTCTCTCTGGGTGTAAGTAAAGTCGAGTCCATGATAGAACAAAATAAACTGAAGAGATTAAAAAAATGTGGACCAGCGTCATGCATTTCTAATCTTGTTTTATTTTTTTCTTCTCCTGGATGCTTTATGACTTTTATTTATGAGTTTTGAGTTTTGTTTGTTCTCTATAGGGCATCCAAGGAGCTCCGGGGTTACCGGGCATCCGCGGAAAACCAGGACCACAGGTTAGATCTGGTTTGAATGTTATTACAAACAACATATTAAATGCCTATTTCAAGTCATTTTGAGTTGTGTTTATATGTGAAAGTTTGAAATAATTACTGGCTTACATGTTGTAGATAGTTTATTAAATAGCCTCTGTTTGGGGAAATGGAGTACATGTGGCCAACTGGACTGATGAGCTAAGAGCTAGGACTAAATAGAAATGCTAATATCTTAAAGCAACAATCTGGAGTTTTCCCCATGTGAGAATTTTTGTGTGATTTTTATTTTAGAGATTTGTAAAAGTCATAATCTTACCTTTCTCTGACAATGTTCCTTAGAGCCCTGTGCAATTTGACTTGATCTCCGCTCAGCATTAGCCAGTAGCGTTAGACATCCACTTGTGTACATATATGTAAAGAGAGGGAGAGAGAGAGAGAGACATTTTCATTCGCTTGTCCGAAGTCTTGTCGCAGGGGCAGTAGCCTAAGTTGATTCAAATCAATTCAACTTTATTTATAAAGCGTCAAATCACGACAAGAGTCGTCTCAAGGCACTTCACATAATAAACATTCCAATAAACTCAGTTCATTAAGCCAGTCAGTAAAAAGTTTCCTATAGAGCTTCGGGAGTTGACGTCACTTCTCCCGGCATACAACAGTTCAAATCGAAACGGCGCTATCTTGGCAGGTAGAAGCCGGCAGCTGGACTATTTGTTATTGTCAGAAAACTCAATCAAACGGGAAATATGGTAGATTCCTGTTGTGCCCCAGGATGCAGAACAGACGCGGACGACATAAGGAATGAGCCATCTACAGGATTCCCCAAGATCCGGAACGGCGCAAACGTTGGATCATTGTAATAAAACGCGCTAGTGACCGGGCGAAAATGAAGCTGTGGGATCCAGAGAGTAAAGGTTTTCACTTATGCAGCGACCGCTTCATATCAGGTACTTAAACCAACGTTTCCTCAACTGTGTATGGTATTTATTTTAAATGCTTTTATTACGATTCTTAGTGGGCTTCCTAAACTTATTTTGGCGTGGCTTTTTCTGTCTTATTACTCATAGCAGCAAGTAAACATCACGTAAAACGTTGCCTCGTGATTTCTGCGTGCTGCCGTTTACGTGTTTTATGATCCCAGCAATTAACCGGCTAAGCTGTATTTAATTTTTAAGCAATGGTTAATCTATTGTCAGATCACACATAAAAAGCACTTTGGATTGCTAATATCTGTCTCACCGAGACAGATCTCAGACAGATCCTGAGACGCTCCTGCCTGACATATTTATTTTATTCACGGAAAAAAATCAGACTAGTGATTTCTCTTGGCGTTCAGTTTATACATTCAAACAGCACAGCACTCTATTTAAACTACTTACATGTAAATCTGTTATTTGTCCATCCATCCTTCCATTTTGATCCGCTTATCTGGAGTCGGCTCTCAGGGGCAGCAGCCTAAGTCGAGAGGCCCAGACTTCCCTCTCCCCAGCCACTTGGGCCAGCTCCTCCGGGGAAATCTCAAGGCGTTCCCTAGCCAGGTCCGCTCCGACAGCTTCTAGCATTTTTAAAAAGTATCCCATGGACATGGTACGGGTCGGAGATGTTTAATCTGTTTAATTTCTGGCTATATAAAACGATTTCTTCGGCTTTAAAGTGTGAAGTAAACTCAGACGGAGTAAAATCCAAGCCGATCCCGTTCATTTTGTTTACCTTTGTTGCCTGCCAACATGGCGTCTACTCTCTGAGAGTCACGTGACGTCCGGAGCTCTATATAAGGAACCCAGCAAATTGCATCAAGTCACTGACTAGTGTCAGTGACTTTACAGCAATCCTCATACTAAGCAAGCATAAAGCGACAGTGGAGAGGAAAACTCCCTTTTAACAGGAAGAAACCTCCAGAGGATCCTGGCTCAGTATAAGCAGCCATCCACCACGACTCACTGGGGATCGAGAAGACAGAGCAGACACACACATAAACACACATCCACACACACAACATATATACCAAGTAGTGTTTCTATGGTTACATTGTGATTTCTTAGTAAATATTCAATTTGGTGAGAGATAAACTTTATTGTATTTATCCTAGTGAATCTATAATTAAACTGGTAAACTAGTAGTAGCACATTCTATGTCAAAGAAATTAAAATGTTATTATCAGGAGAGGGAGAATGTTTAAATTCGAGAAGGCTCGAGAGGCACTGACTTCCCTCTCGCCAGCCACTTGGGCCATATATTTACATAAATAGATGGATGGATATTGATATCTGTATAGTACATTACATTATTTTCACCTCTAGATGCCCAACACTAATCATCAGTTTGTGATTTCGTAGCCTCCTTTAGCTTCCTCAAATGGGTTTAGGCTGTGTAGATGTGAAGTAAAGAGCTAAAACCAAAAGACATTACTCTTCTGCTTTTACTTCCAGGCTCCACCATAAAGCCAACAAAAAAGTTCTTGTGCTTTTTAAATCCCATCTGTGAGCTGAAAAGCTGCTCCCTATCTGAACCACAAAACTGCAGTTTCTAGTCAGCAGAGGGCTAAACTGTGCCGTCCAATGTTTCTGCCTCAAAAATCACTGAAACCAGTTTGAAAGCAATAGCTTAATGTATTAAAAACTCTTCAATGCTGCATTAAATATCAAAGCCAAAAGCTATCAATCTGACAGTTTATTAAAGTCATTGTGAAGGTTAAAAATTCATAACATTTCACAGACCCAAATGAATAGATGTTGTTATATTCCTTTTATTTTTTATTAACAGGGAAAGCTTGGAGAAAAAGGCCCTGACGGTGCATCTGGGCCACCAGGCCCTGAGGTGTGTGCTTAAGCCCTAGAATGATGCACTGAACACTTCCGTTTGTGTTACAGAAACAACTCAGATCTATTCTCTTATTACTTGTGACAGGGTTTCCCTGGTGACATGGGACCACCAGGAGAGAACGGCCTTGAAGGACCAAAGGTGAGCTCAACCATCACCTTGACTGGCTAGACTATAAACTGTGGGAATCAAGCACAAAACGGAACACCAATAACAATCTGCAGCTCCTCTTGCTGAAGCACAACAGCTTTTAGCTGTCAATGTGTTATTTCGCGTCCATCGGGGAGTCATTAGCACCATTAAGATTTCACTTCAGAGAAATATGAAATTAATTTCCAAACAGTCGTGACACCCAGTCCAATTCAACCAACAGAACAGAACTACACTGCTTTCTCTGCAGCTGTGTTGAAAACGTGTGTGTACAAAAAAAAAAATTATGTTAATTTACTGCCTTTGACTCATCAAGGGAAAACCAGGGGCCAGAGGTTTACCAGGGCCACGAGGAATTCCAGGTCTGGAGGTACGTGTGTCAGACATCTCCTATGTAAGACTGGTCCTAAAACACCAGAAATGTATTGCTCAATGTTTGCCTTTACTCAGCATTTTCAATCCCAAAGCCCGACAACAGTTTTATCTGTTTCCAGGGTGACGAGGGCCCCCTTGGGCCACCGGGACCATCAGGACTAGAGGTGAGATATTTAATAAAAACGCGTTTGTTTCTTGGGCAAAGAGGATTAGGACCACTGAACTGAAAAGAAATAGAAGTCCGACTTTGATCACATGACTCTTACTTTTGGGATTAAAGTAACATTTCTGAGAGAAAAAAGTCAGAATTCTGAGATTAAAGTCAGTCAAGTGTTGTTTTTGTTTTTTAATTTCACGCCAGAACACGTAAACTGTCCCATCATAATGCTGAGTTTTTCAGCCATTTCCCTTGCAAGACCTTTTTTTTCTATTTATGTATCTGTATTACACAATGAGTGTAAAACACAGCTGCTGCATGAAGCTCAATCTGTTTGCAAGCTTAGCAGTCATCTAAACTGATTTATATTCATGATGTAAAAGCTCACTGAAATCCTGGCATGGAGTTAGAGTCCCAAAAGTGCAGTTGTACTCTAAAACAGTGAGCACTTTCCAATATATCACATGGATATGCATTTACTTTCAGCTGTTTTATTGAATTAACCCTGTTACCAAAAGAGTATGTATTCCATTATTTTCTAAATAAAATAAAAAAAGATTACTGCAGGTTATGAATTCTGGACGATGAGCTGATTTCAGACAGCCGTGTGCAGTTCTCTTTTTGAGCACTAGGGGGAGATGAACTTCATCACAAAGTTCATTGATGCCATGATTTATTGCTGCAGTAGAAATGTTCCAAGATGATAGTAATCCACTGTAGAAACAGAATAGTACTTGATTATCTTTATTTTTTCTCTATCACATATTTATTGTGTGATCAATAAAGTAGATAATATCAGGAAAAGAGGTTTTTGAGTTAGCTGAAACAATCAGTACTTCACATGTAACATGTTTACTTCAACTACGACTTCCTGCCTTCTTCCCTGAGCACTTTCCCCTCTCTAACTCCCTCCACGCTCGCCTCTCTCATTCTCTGATCCTCTCCTCTAGCAGACAGGAAGTGTCAGCTGACTCCTGTAGGAGCTCTGATTGCTCTCTGGCAAGGTGCCACAAGTCTTCCTACACCTTTACTGTTTTCCCATCTCTCACCATTTTCAGTATTTTGTGTATGTTTGACCTTTTGGTGTACCAAACTTGCTAATTAGACTTTTTTTAACGTAATTTTGGCCTGAAAAGCAGAAGATGTGAATATATATCAAGCATTATGAAATAACGAGAGCTGGAGCACAAATTTTAATCCTTATTTTACAACCGGAATAGACTTTTACTGTGTGATTGAGTAAATGTATGTGTTAGATTTGACTGTTTTACTAAAGTTGCCAAATTAAACTTTGGGAATACTGAGTCACTCCATCTCAGGAGTTTGGCTCACATCCCTGAAGTTGCTGGTTTAAAAAAAAAGAAAGAAAAGACAGAAATGAGAAAAAAAAGGTTCTGCATCCTGCCAAAATAAAAACCCTAAGCCTGTCAGCATTACCTGTACTTGCTTTTTTCAGCTAGATGCATGCAGCAGATACTTCACTGATCTCCCTTCACACTGTTATTTCATAGGAAACAGATCATTTCCATTTGCTGTGAATTTTTATAATGAATGCTATTGATGTGCTCCCTGGCAGGCAACTGTCTTCTATTCACCATTCATCATTCTATGGCTCTTTTGTTTCCAGGGTAGAATGGGAAGAAAGGGATTTCCTGGGGTTGTTGGTCCAGAGGGAGTTAAGGTAAAAAAAATCAAACTGATTTGCCCTTTTATTCCCCTTCTTCTCTAAAATATGAGGAAAATAACTTTGTTATAGTAATCTGAAAAGTAACAGTAGATCCATGTCTGCAGGGTGAACCCGGTATCACAGGACAGGTCGGGCCCATGGGAGAAAGAGTAAGAATCCCTGACATTGCCACTTCCTGCATTGAGTATTTCTACATGTTCCAAGCAAGATGTCCAAGAAAGTCTTTCCAGTCATCCATCCAACATTGACTTTCTGCTTTTCAGGGTTTGGTAGGTTTTATCGGACCTGTGGGAGAGGCTGGACTGGCAGGAGAGAAGGTAAGAAAAACATAAATCAGGTTCTGCTTGTTAGTTTCACCTTCATCTCCTCAAAGTAACAATGAAAGAGAGTATTTTATCTGTGCAAATTAGGGCGATCGAGGGGAAACGGGCCTTCCTGGACCACCTGGAGTAAAAGGATCAACGGTAAGATGCACTCATAAAGACAAAGTGGAGAGATTTTTGTTAAAGGCAAAAATTGACTCTGGTTGCTAAAAGCTTTGTTTTGAGTTTGTGTGAAAGGGATACTTTGCAGTTTGGCTTGCTTTTAGCACCTCGTAGTGTTGCGTTAGTCAAAGCAAAAGTGAAACTCATCTCCTTGCTGTGCGTTCGTCTTTTTATCACCTTAATCTAACGGCTGAAATGTCTCCTCAGCCTTCATTAGTTTCTACAGGAGCAGTTCATCACGAAATCAAACAAATCAGCTGTGTTCATGGTCTAAAACGTGCTGGAAGAAGACTCCAGCTCCACCATGTCAGCTCCACTTTTATTTAGTCCAACAGGGGTGTGAGCGGCAACTCTGAAGTTGCAAGTGCGATATTCGGGCCACAGGGGGCAGTGGGGGTCTGAGTGACATTTCATTAACCACGTAAAGGGTCGTTTTAGCTCATACTGGCTCAAGAAAGTGATTTCAATTCATGAAAAAGTTGCATAGTATACCTTTAAGTCAGCAGTGGCTGGTGACAAAAATTTCTTGGTAAGGCTATATGTGAAAAGATATCCATTATTAACATTCAAATGACCTGTTGGGAAATGACTACAATTCCAAATTATTCATTTGTCTCTAAATAAGCCATTTTACAGATTGAGTCAACTATCACACTTACAGATAAATATTACAATAAATACACAAAACTGTGAGCCACTGCAGTCCATAATGTCATTTTTGTCTTTATTCACTTTATTTTGTCCATCCATCCATCCATCCATCCATCCATCCATTTTCATCCACTTATCATCCATCCATCCATCCATCCATCCATCCATCCATTTTCATCCACTTATCATCCATCCATCCATCCATTTTCATCCACTTATCGTCCATCCATCTGTCTGTCCGTCCGTCCGTCCATCCATTTTCATCCGCTTATCCGGAGTCGGGTCGCGGGGGCAGTAGCCTAAGGCGGCCCAGACTTCCTTCTCCCCAGCCACTTGGGTCAGCTCCTCCGGGGGAATCCCAAGGCGTTCCCTGGCCAGGTGAGAGACATAGTCCCTCCACCGTGTCCTGGGTCTACCTTTAGGTCTCCTCCCGGTTGGACGTGCCCGGAAAACCTCACCAGGGAGGCATTCAGGAGGCATCCTGACCAGATGCCCAAGCCACCTCAACTGGCTCCTCTCGATGTGGAGGAGCAGTGGGTCTACTCCGAGCCCCTCCCGAATGACCGAGCTTCTCACCCTATCTCTAAGGGAGAGCCCAGCCACTCTTCGGAGAAAACTCATTTCGGCCGCTCGTATCCGCAATCTCGTTCTTTCGGTCACTACCCAAAGCTCATGACCATAGGTGAGGGTAGGAACATAGATCGGCCGGTAAATCGAGAGCTTTGCCATCTAACTCAGCTCTCTCTTCATCACAACAGACCAGTACAACGCCCGCCTCACTGCAGATGCAGCACCAATCCGCCTATCGATCTCACGCTCCAGCTTTCCCTCACTCTTGAAAAAGACCCTGAGATACTTAAACTCCTCCACTTGGGGCAGGACCTCATCCCTGACCCAGAGAAGGCATTCTACCCTTTTCCGAATCAAGACCATGGTCTCAGATTTAGAGGAGCCGATTCTCATCCCAGCTGCTTCACACTCGGCTGCAAACCGCTCCAGCGAAAGCTGAAGATCACGTTCTGATGAAGCCAACAGGACCACATCATCTGCAAAAAGCAGAGACCTGATCCTCAGGCCACCAAAACGGATGCCCTCCACACCTTGGCTGCACCTAGAAATCCTGTCCATAAAAGTTATGAACAGAATCGGTGACAAAGGGCAGCCTTGGTGGAGTCCAACTCTCACTGGGAACGAGCCCGACTTTCTGCTGGCAATGCGGACCAAGCTCTGACACCGGTCATACACATATTTTGTCCTTAGTTTTTTTTCCAGCTTGAGTCTGTGTGTGCCTCAAAGTGGTTTTACCGTCAGTCTTTGAAAATATCCATCAAAATGTTGTTGAAAATGAATAAGATTATGTCCAGTCGTTGACAAATATTGGCGGCTTCATAACATGTAACCACAAAAGTTGGGTCTAAAGTACATAGGGAACGGGTCTAGCGTCTTTGGGGCACACCATATTAGATGCCATGTTTTCTTCTGGTCAGCTCGGGGTCCTGTCGATGACGTCAACTAGATGATTGGCTGGATGCACAACTTTACCACATTACCACATTTGAAAACAGTCAGTAAAAAACATTACTTTAACCCTAATGGGTGTGACCCCGCGAGGAAAGTTGACTATTGAGCAGGGTTGATGGTTTATCCCTTGGGTCCATGTGGCAGAGGTGAGGATTGAGCACCACCTCACCCCTGCCACGTGGACCTCAAGGGATAAACCATCAATCCTACTCAATGGTCAACTTTCCTCGTGGGGTCACCCATTAAGACCAAAGGGAGGGTTAATAACAAAACTCTTTCCAAAACTATGTGAAATAACAGATTAAAAAAGGAGATGCAATATATTTTGGCCAAGTGGTATTGCCGTAGTATGATGACATCATCAGCAGGCACAGAACTCCGAGCAGATCCAGAAACTACAATCGGCATTGTATTCTCTCGATTGAATTAATTGAAGGACCATCAAAGTCTGAGGAGTCACACCGAGGTTGCACGCTTTCTCCTTCACAGGTAACAACACCTATTGTAATTTATTTTTAAAAACTAGCAACAGTCACAACGATATGGCGTAAAACTACCCTGAAATGTATGTACTGGCCCCTAGCACCAGGAAACTACACACCACCACTTTAATTAATCATTTACTGAGAGGGCGCACTTCAAAGTGCAATACTCAGTTCCACCAGTAGATGGCATTACCACAACATTGAAATTCAATTTGACATCCTTCTTTGAACATTATAATAACGTAAAATGTGAGCAAATTAACAGATTTACTGCAACAGTAAGAGATATGACTTTAGCTTTTTTTTGTCCCTTCACGTCAGAGAGGGCGGTGCCATAACTCTCCTTACAGGGAGCCTAAGTCACGCCCATCTGCTCCCGGACCATGGGTCCCCGGAAGAATGAAAAATGAATGCAAGTCAACGGGGCTAAAAACACTGTTTTCTAATTCCACTTCTTATGTGCCATGGATTTCACATATGATGTCTCTGAATTTTAAAGACACATTTTAATACCAAGAAAGCGCTAATTTTCGAATGGGGGAAACGTTATTATATGTTTTGTGTGAAAATACATCCAGGGCTACAAATGCGCTTCACAAAAGTGATGTCATCGAACCAGACACAAAGAAAAACAGAGGGGAAACCACTGTAATTTCAGCAAACTTTAAATCTAGCCATGAGGTAAGTAGCAGCTACGCTAGGGGAGAGGAGATTTTGTGGTGACATCATATATGCGACGTATCAATGTCTGATTTGTAGTCATGCTAATTACTAACTTTTACAAGCTGATAGATGTCAAAGCACAAGACAGGTGTGGTTGAAACAACCATCATTACTTTTCATTTAAATTGAAATACAACATATGTGCGATCCAGGGCCTAAGGCAAAGCGAAAATAGCTCTTTTAGCCCCATTGATTTGCATTTGTTTTTTCGTTCTTCTGGGACCCATGAGACGACCGGAAAGGAAGGCTCCTTATCAACAAGCCACCACTGTGTTAAGCTCAGATGGACAAAAAAAATCCATTATAGGTTGATATAATCTTTAAAAAGCATAAATTTTAGGGGCTAGGATAGGAAACCCTCTTAACAGTCAATCAACCTTTTTTCAGCCTTTTTTATCACAGGTTTTTTCACACCTGACCAGAGGACATTATAATGTACACAACATATTTCTCACCAGTACAGTTAATCATGGTCTGGGCTTTGAGTCCCATCATTATCATCATCAAAGCTGAGTTTTAGCACATGGCTGGAAGCTTCTAGTTAAAAAAAGGTTCTAATCAAAGCCCAAATAAAAAATGTTGGTAACTGAGTGCACCGCTTAACCCTCTCAGGCTCTAAATAAGTTCTGATAAAAAGACGAACAACTAAGTCCTTCAGGGGTACTTCTGAGTTTAAAAATGCTCGTGAAATACGTGTGTGGAGTAACCAGGTAGGTAGGTTTTAATGTTGCAAATCTGCAACGCCTGCCTCCAGAGGGTTAAAGACATTTTCCTCCCTAATCTCTATGAATAGTGTTAACTGCTCTTAAATACCAGTGGGATCATCTAAGAAAATGAAAAGGAAGATTTCTGCAGGGCTAAAGGAAAAGGGCTCAGCTTTCTGCACGATTCTTTTATGACCATAACTTTATCACAATCATCTGCTTGTTCCGCTCTTTCAGCTTATGGCTTCTTAGTTGTGTGTTGCCTTTATCTTTTACGGACCGTCTAAGACTCAAAAACGTACGGCTGGCTGGAAAGGATCACAATTTAGTCATCATTGAAGTTGGCTCAGTGCCAATTGGATCTCTGAAAGAGCTTTACTGCTTACACACACATACACACACACACATTCACACTTCTGAGGAAGTTCTCCTTTGGCTGGCTTCCTCAGTTACAAAACAGAAACAGACCCTCTGGAAAAGATGGCATCACAGAAAGCGAAAGGAGGTGCTAACAGAGAGCTCAGACTGTAGGCATCTATGTTTTATTTCTGTGGGCACATGACATCAGAGCTGCCCATGATGCTATAACCTTACACACTGAATGGGTTTTATAGTTCTCAGATGTTCTGGCTAGTCCGACCAAAACATTCTCCCATTATACAGTTGTGCTTTTACAAATGGTCTGGCCAGAAAACCAAATTCAATAAAAAAGACGAAGAAAGGCAGCCAGGAGCAGTACGTTTTTTTTGTATAAAAGCTGTCTTCTGGCCTCTTGTCTTTCATTGTTTTCTAGCTTTTCAGTGCAGAAAGATTTTCTGCAGATCCATTTAGTGTGTCGGTGAAAGAAAAGCAGCATGTTACCTTTAACAAACCCATACAATTCATTGGATTTAGAGTAAGTTTGTGTCTTTGTGTCAACACCTTTTTAATGGAACCCTCTTTGGAAACTTGGAACCTCTTCCCTGCAGTCTGGGAACTCCAGAAGCAGTGTTCTGTTTTGTCAATAATCCCCAAAAAGCTTCTTAATGTCAAAACTATTCTCAGATCATTGGTCTTATTGAAGTTCACCATTTGTTTAATCCAGTTTAGTGTCAGCTGTAATTTATGTGTCAAATCTGTGTTCTCACAATAGGGTCATCCGGGGACGCCAGGTGAGACCGGGCCTCCTGGACCACCAGGAAGACCAGTAAGTCACCACTCTTGTGCACATTTAATTTTTTTTTTCTCCTTTACACACGAGACACACGAGATTAAACTGTGGACACAATCTCCTCTTAGAGTAGCAAGTATCAGAGAAAACAGCCAAAAACAGATACATTTGTGTCACTATCTACCCTAACCCTAACCAAAGAGCTGTGTACAGATGGCGACCATAGTGTCAGATTCAGAGCTTTTCTGAGTGCTATGAGACCTGACAGCCCCCTGCTGTATGTGTTTTATCCTCCTGTCAGTCAAAAACCCAACACCTATAACCAATTACACACTGCCACTGCTCCCCACGCCCCTTGTCCTCCCACTGAGTCTTCCCCATGGCCACACTTAGCTGAGGTCAGGCCCTGTTCTGGTTCAAAGCGGGGGCCACCGAGCCACCAAAACAAACATAAACACGGGGTTTTGGGTGCAGCGGGACAGGATTCCAGAGCAGGCTTTTTAATTGGTGTGAGTGACAGATCTAACAACAAAACCTAGTGTGTTCCTGAGGTCAGGCTGCCCCCCTCTGGGGTCAACAGCCAGGGGGCCCTCTGGTCTGTCATTGTAAACCTTTGTTTTATTTCGCCATCCCTCTATTTTTTCCTGACTTCTCTTTTTTCTTCTTTGTTTGTCAGGGCCCTTCTGGATCAACTGGGCCATCTGGTACCAGAGGACCTAAGGGCTTGCGGGTGAGTTTGAAGGTTGACTAGTTTTTCTTTTTTCCAGCTAGAGCGTGTGCTGGTATTCTGCAGGCATTGTGTCATTGTTCCCAGGCTGAAAGATGATATGTACGGTTACTGAGCGAGTGTGAGTGAGGCGCTACTCTGATGGGTTTTTAAAAGATGTTGATGAAGTGATGCAGAGGTGCTGTGTTTAATGGAACCATCTGACTATTCATGCACAATGGGTTAAAGCTGAATAAAGAAGCTGGTTCAGCTCCAGGAAAAACCCAAAACCTCAGTGACGCAAACAAACTAGATGGTTCTTATTTCCCATAAAGTTTTAGCAAAAGCGAGTTCTAGAAATAATTTGTTATCAACTTCACAGTTCTTGTAGTGGAAACGTGTGACATTGTCATTTGTGAAATAATTTCATGTCACTTATAATAAACCAAAGAAGATGAAAAAAGTCACCTACATCTATCTCCTGCATTAGCTTCTGATAGAAAATAGATGGGGAAATGCTAGGATTTGAAAATCCTCACACTGTGATGTCACACTGAAATTGCATTCATGGCCTTGCCCATCTTGGCTCGCGCCTGCCCACAGGAAGGCTTTTTTTTTTTGCAGCGAGGAGAGAGAGTGTGTTGGTGATAGTGACTTTGCAACATGGCTAAACACGTTCTGTTAGCCAATCAGAAGCGAGGTGTGTGCACATCATTAATAATAATGAGCAATCCTGCATTTTTCAGCCCACATCTGCACCAGCAACATTCTGCATCTCAGAACAGGAGCATCATAGCTTTTTTTATTACTCATAAGGCATTGCTTTACACTAGAGAACATTGCAAATGTATTGAATAAATGAGTAAATCACACCTTTAAGAGAACAGAATAGCTTGAGGTTTCTCTTGCTCATTCAAAACAAATATAATGATAATGGCAATTATGCATTTTAGATACAGTTGCAAAAAAGTGTGTGTGCCTTTTTTGGGTGAGCAGTCGCAGCATCTTCTTTGTCTCCGTCTTACCAGTGTAAGGAAAAATAATGTTTACCCTAACCCTAAAAAAACAACAACACTGCGTCTTTATTAGACCTTTATGGGAGATGATCATCAATATGATTAGTCTGGACATTTTAATATCATAACCTGTGTTTTTAGGCAACAATGTCACTACCAATTCACCACCTTCATAGTTTATATTCCAAAATTAGAAACAGGAGTGTCAGTAAACCTACATGAATGCAACAACTTTCAGATGTGTCCTCGGCTAATTTTATTTCAAAAACCATAAAAATACAGGTTTGAACTGACCGAGAAGGAAAATGGTTAAAACAAAGTCAGATATTTATACCACATGACTTTTACATGTTAAGTTGGATGTGGAGTCCTGATGTCAACTGAAACAGAACATCTGTCTCCACTCAGATAAAAACAGTGTAACGGCATTGAAGATTCAAATGAAAATGTCGAATCAGAGACTGCATATACAGGTCCTTCTCAAAAAATCAGTATATTGTGATAAAGTTCATTATTTTCTGTAATGTACTGATTAACATTAGACTTTCTTATATATTAGATTCATTACACACAACTGAAGTAGTGCAAGTCTTTTAATGTTTCTCATAGTGATGATTTTGGCATACAGCTCATGAATACCCAGAATTCCTATCCCAAAAATTTAGCATATTTCATCCGACCAATAAAAGAAAAGTGTTTTTAATACAAAAAAAGTCAATCTTCAAATAATTATGTTCAGTTATGCACTCAATACTTGGTCGGGAATCCTTTTGCAGAAATGACTGCTTCAATGCGGCGTGGCATGGAGGCAATCAGTGTGTGGCACTGCTGAGGTGTTATGGAGGCTCAGGATGCTTCGATAGCGGCCTTAAGCTCATCCAGAGTGTTGGGTCTTGCGTCTCTCAACTTTCTCTTCACAATATCCCACAGATTCTCTATGGGGTTCAGGTCAGGAGAGTTGGCAGGCCAATTGAGCACAGTAATACCATGGTCAGTAAACCATTTACCAGTGGTTTTGGCACTGTGAGCAGGTGCCAGGTCGTGCTGAAAAATGAAATCTTCATCTCCATAAAGCGTTTCAGCAGATGGAAGCATGAAGTGCTCCAAAATCTCCTGATAGCTAGCTGCATTGACCCTGCCCTTGATAAAACACAGTGGACCAACACCAGCAGCTGACATGGCACCCCAGACCATCACTGACTGTGGGTACTTGACACTGGACTTAAGGCATTTTGGCATTTCCCTCTGCCCAGTCTTCCTCCAGACTCTGGCACCTTGATTTCCGAATGACATGCAAAATTTACTTTAATCCGAAAAAAGTACTTTGGACCACTGAGCAACAGTCCAGTGCTGCTTCTCTGTAGCCCAGGTCAGGCGCTTCTGCCGCTGTTTCTGGTTCAAAAGTGGCTTGACCTGGGGAATGCAGCACCTGTAGCCCATTTCCTGCACACACCTGTACACGGTGGCTCTGGATGCTTCCACTCCAGACTCAGTCCACTGCTTCCGCAGGTCCCCCAAGGTCTGGAATCGGTCCTTCTCCACAATCTTCCTCAGGGTCCGGTCACCTCTTCTCGTTGTGCAGCGTTTTCTGCCACACTTTTTCCTTCCCACAGACTTCCCACTGAGGTGCCTTGATACAGCACTCTGGGAACAGCCTATTCGTTCAGAAATTTGTTTCTGTGTCTTACCCTCTTGCTTGAGGGTGTCAATGATGGCCTTCTGGACAGCAGTCAGGTCGGCAGTCTTACCCATGATTGCAGTTTTGAGTAATGGACCAGGCTGGGAGTTTTTAAAAGCCTCAGGAATCTTTTGCAGGTGTTTAGAGTTAATTAGTTGATTAAGATGATTAGGTTAATAGCTCGTTTAGAGAATCTTTTCATGATATGCTAATATTTTGAGATAGGAATTTTGGGTTTTCATGAGCTGTATGCCAAAATCATCAATATTAGAAACAATAAAAGGCTTGAACTACTTCAGCTGTGTGTAATGAATCTAATATATGAAAATTTAATGTTTATCAGTACATTACAGAAAATAATTAACTTAATCACAATATGCTAAGTTTTTGAGAAGGACCTGTATAAGACTGCATGTTGGTATCAGAGCATGTGGATCTTGGTCTGTTTTCTGTGTCTGAACTTTATTTACATGATCAAAAACAGTTAAAAGATGCTGAATAGAGCCTGTAGATATCAGATGTGAATGATCACCAGTCTGACTAATCATGCTCTGTAACTAATAACTCCTTACGACATCTAATGGACAAATCCTCAGCTGATGTTTTCCAGCCAGAGGCCACATCTGTGTGATTATTCCTTTTACTCAGAATTCTGAGCTGTTTTAAATACAAGTTGATGGATTCATGCTGCTGAAGTTCATGTTTCTGTCAGATAGAAACCATATCTCTGTATATGTGCAGTTTGATGTTTGTGATTATTGTAAGTGGGGATAAGTGGAAAAAGTATTTTCTCCATTCACCGACTAATCGGCCTGTGTAAACACAACCAGCAGGTTGCCGGTACCCCAGACAGGAATGTTAACGAGCAGTGTCCATCCAGCTCTGTGTGTAATAGGTTTATAGCACTTAGGTTATTGTTATTCTCTCTTCGCCAAAACTCTCACTGAGCATCAAGACCTCCATCATGATGATGTCCTGAGAAAATCACTGTTAAACACTTTCTTTTTTAAGCCAACCATGAGGGCTTCGATTCACACATTTCCTGTCAGTCAGTGGACTTCCTTTTGTGTCAGTGAGCCAACATAATCCAGATTAAAGATGTGAAACAGATGCAGGTGCGAAGCTAGCAGGTCTTTAACCCATTTGCATTGATTATATTTGACAGTTTCACCCATGCATTTCAAGCAAAACTTCGAATAGTGTTTGTGTGTTTAAATGTCAGCTGAGATTATTTGTAATTGACTTTTTTAAACCTTGAATCTTGTGTTAAATTGATGTCTTTCAGCTGCACATGTGTCACCAGATCATGCAGCAGTTTATTCAGCATACACAGATCACATGATATACTTTTAGATTCATCTTAAGGGCAGTCTTCAGACACTATTACGATTAATTCTTGCATGTGGGGGGCTTTTGTGTCACACTAGAGCGATGTTTGTTTACAGCCTGCTGTGGCTGCCTGGCAGTGTTACAGTGACCTCTGTTGGTGGAGTGACATTTGTCTTTTTTTTTCAGGGTGCAATAGGGCCTGACGGTCCAACAGGAGAGATGGGGTCAGAGGGCAAGAAGGTAAGGATGCCCGTTGTGCACATATTTACAAAATCATTCATCTAATACTGTAACCCTTTGCAATGGTGGAAACTGTAGATGAATAGCACATGGTGATGTTCCTATAAAAGAAACAGGAAGTTTTTAGTAAAATTAAGAGTTTGACACCAGCTTTATCTAATTCTCTCCTCTCACTACAGGGTCACGATGGGCCTCCAGGAAAAATAGGTTTCCCAGGATCACAGGTGAAAACCACATCCATCTTTCTTTTTCCATTGTCTTCCTCACATTTGATTTTTGTGGTACTGGTGTTACTCTAGAGACGTGAGAGATCTCAGTCTCATGATTTAAAAGACTCTACTTCTTTTATGTCAGGAAAAGAAAAATGTGTTTTCCTCTGGAGAACATTTCTTTTCAGGTTTACATCAGACAGTTGAGCAAATGATTGCCAGACATCTCCAGCGTTCTGTTCCTGTTTTGTTGTGTGGATCAGATGTAGCTTTTAAAGACCACTGATACATATATATATATATATTTTTTTCCTTTTCAAATTTAGATCATAAACAATAAAGGATGATGCCTTGTAACTGTGATTTTATTTATTCGTTTACTTTCTTAAAACAAGTTTGAATGTTTGTTTTTACAATCATCTTTGATCTGTCACAGAGTTGATCTCATGTCTTTGATTTCTTTTATCTTGTTACTCCAGGGAATGATTGGAGAGCTAGGAGAAACTGGGCCTAAAGGCTTTCCTGTGAGTTCATTAATATCATGTGTTTAACTCACACACAAAAGACCACACAAACAATGTGATTCGTTTTCAGTGGCATCACAATAGGAAACTCTAAAAGTCTTTTTTTTTTTCCTGCTTTTTGTCTTCAGGGAATTCAAGGACCTTCTGGACCACCAGGGGACAAAGGAATAGCTGGCGAGCCGGTATTTCCAGCATTGTTAACTTGAAATGTTCCCATAATTTATGTCCTTCAATTTGTTCAGTTAAGGCTGCCATTATGATTTCCTCATTACAATTCACCTAATGTTTTTTCCCCCCTTTTGGAATACTGTGTCGTTACCTAAAAGGTGTGGTTCACTCATTTAATTAATACATTTGCAGTCGTTTCTAGTACGAATGAATGCCTTGTAAGTTGTGTTCTGAGTATAAAAAGTCCTGGTGCGCCTGTTACAGGATCTAGAAAATTGCCAGATCAGAGGAGAGCGTCAGACGGCTGAATTTACAGTCTTACTTCTTCATATTTGGACGTCTCACCGCTGATTGGATAACAGCAATGGGACTCTACCGCTGACTCTGTTTATTTTGCAGCATTGATGTTTTATCTCCGCAAACCTAAAGAAATTCTGCTGTGTGGTGAAGTTGCTAATGCTAACAGTTAGCTTCCATTAGCCGATACGTTCTCTGCTGTTTCCTGGACACCAAACCAAAAACAGCCTTCCCCGTCGTGAGTCAAGATGGATGGGCCCATGAAAGTGACAGTGTGACGTTAAGCTGTCAGGCTTTTCTAATCCTGGCGTTTGATCGTGCAGGAGATAATAATAATAGTAATAATAATAATAATAATAATATATTTTATTTATAATGCACTTTACATTTAAAAAAGAAATTCCAAAGAGATCGGTGTAGGAGATTATTTTTATGTTCAGCTTGCATGAAAAAGTAACGGATTATAATCAGAAATAATCTTTAAAAATGTTTTTTTGGGGGTGAACCACACCTTTAAAAATGTAGTTCTACTGAAAAACAGAGTAATGCTTTTGTTTTAAACATGATTGGTCACACCAGAGCTGTTTTTCCACAAAAAATGACTCACAAGGCATTCATTGTTGATAGGGATCTCGGCAATCTTGTTGAAAAAAATGAGTGCAGGACTGACACCGAGCTTTTATAAATATACAGTACATTAGCTGATATAAATTCTAAAATATTTTACTTCCGTGACAAATATTGTATAGCAAACTACTTTTAACAAGAGATATTTTAAGTCAGCTATTTATTTTTCATTCATCTATCCAGCCTAAGTCTGATTCTCCCACATTCTACCTAGACTTTGGCTATGAAGAAATAAAACAAAATAATTTCATATTTTTGAGGGGTTTTATTTTTATTTTTTATTTTCATTCCATGAGACATTATTGATCAAATCAAGACATAGGTTTTCTTGGCTCCTAAAATGATTTGCACACATGCTGAAATACATTTGCAATGTTACAAACAGGCACCCAGCACTTGTTTGTTTTCACATCACAGCCAATTTAGTTTTTCATATTAAAATAAACATACATTTAGCCTTTTTTCATAGTCTTGTATGTCTTGTTTGATTGGAATAAAAGTCAACTTGGCTAATTTTCTGTAATCAGTGAGCCTTCTTGGCAAAACTTCTCATTATTAACATCATCCAAAGCCAAACTATATGCAGATGACATGTTGATTTACTCATCATGAGTTGAATCTCAGTAAATGTTGGCAAAAAATTCCCTATGTTTCGTTCATATAGCATTTAAATACATGTGCTGTCATTTCTAGGGACCACCTGGACCACCTGGGACTGTTGGACTGTTGGGAGAAATTGGTCAAAAGGTGAGCTGATTTACAAACACACTCATGTACACACTTTGTAATTAGCATATACTGACATGTTTCACAAAGGGTTTAACAGCACAGACAAAAGGGGTATTGTGAAGATTAAATGACACAATACTGGACACGTGTTGTTCAGCCTCTGCCAGTGATTGATTGCACTCTCTTTCATCAGTAATGCGTCTTATTGAACTAATTACACATTTCTTTTCTCTGACTTGCCCAAATGTATTTAGTTATTCTTTTGTTTATCTTTCATTAGGGTCCTCCAGGAAAGGATGGTGAACCAGGGCTGCCAGGAGAGCCTGGGGAGAAGGTGAGAAAATTAAACTGTTCTTTATCGAGCCATCATTCTTGGTTCCAAGGCTTATTCTGAAATCTACTGTGTCCTTGTGTGTCAGGGGGCTACTGGACCTGCTGGAAACATTGGAGAACAAGGATTAATAGGACAGAGGGTATATTTATCTGAATTAAGTTATGAAATGTCTGCCTTTCTCGAGAGTTGGAGCCAGTTTTTATTTCGAGGGGTTGTTTATGTGTGCAGGGAGAGCCAGGCCCAGAGAGTGAAGCTGGTCCAGCCGGTCCTGATGGAACAAAGGTGAGCAGTTATAAACATGTTCTTGAATCGGTAATAATGAAAGACATTTAAATACAAAGCTGTAGTTTGAGTGTGAAACATTGAAATGGACTTGTTATAATTATGTGATCAGGGTGAAAAAGGTGATATGGGTCAGGAGGGTGACACGGGTGAGAAAGGTGAAACTGGATTAAAAGGAAAGGAAGGTTCAGCTGGTAATCCAGGACTCACTGGCTTCAGGGTAAGTCCTAATGAAGACATCTATTTGGTTGATTGATTGATTGATTGATTGATTGATTGATTGATTGATTGATTGATTAATTGATTGATTAATTGATTGATTGATTGATTGATTGATTGATTGATTGATTGATTGATTGATTGATTGATTGATTGATTGATTGATTGATTGATTGATTGATTTTCTCTGAAGGGTCCTGAGGGGAAGTCTGGTAAAATCGGAGAACAAGGCAAACCAGGACCAAAGGTGATACCATGAAAGTGTTTCTGGTATCAGATTAATTCTTAAGTAACCATAAGCCTATACACAAAAAATAAAAACACAAGAAGCCTTTCTGCATTTTTTGCTCTAACAATTTTTAGGGTGCTAAAGGTTATCTGGGTCATCTTGGAGAGACTGGACCTGTGGGAAAGACCGGACCACCAGGATTTGTTGGACCAAAGGGGTCGCGAGGGACTGTCGGACATGCGGTAAAGTTGAACAGTACTGATCAAAAACATTTATCACTTGCATCAAAGCACTGTCATGATCTCATATGAAGGATCATTTATTTAACCACACAACATATGCTACCTTTAGGGAGCTCCAGGCCGAATGGGTCAGCAGGGGGAGATGGGCCTTTTGGGTTATGAGGTGAGATAATGTTAGTAGCGTTTAAGGACTTTCTAATGCAGTTTGATACAATAATTTTATATAACATGGTTTCTGGGTGTCTGTCTTCACAGGGTCACAAAGGACAACAAGGTCCAATGGGACCTCCAGGACCAAAAGGTGAAAAGGTACACCTCGTTCACTTTATGCATAACTGATGTTTCTTATTCTCCTGTATCTTAATTCTGCTTCTTAGTCTGACTAAGTTTAACCAGATAAATTGTAATTTAGAGCCCAAATTAATTTTGTGTCTTTTCAAAAAAATCAGTGATCTCTGTTGTGTTTTCTATCTACAGGGTCTCCAAGGAGATGATGGGAAAAAGGAAGGTCCTCCCGGTCCTCATGGTCTTATGGTATTTCAACCATAATTTATTTTTGGTGTCTTTTTATTGTTTGTCTTCTCCAAAGTTATGGTCCTCACCCAAAATTAATCTGAAAAATTTGCCATTTTTTCTTATATTTTCTGATTTCTCAGGGACATCCAGGTGACAGAGGAGAAAGAGGTCAACCAGGAGATCCAGGGTACAAAGTAAGTCTTCCAATTACTTTCATCCAGCCATCCATTTTCAGCCAACTAGTTTCAAAACTCATTAATGTTGTATTCAGTTAAATATGTTAATATCATGTTACATTAAAGGGTCAAATTGGTGTGGATGGGGAACGAGGCAGACCTGGAGCTTCTGGACAACCAGTAAGTGTTCACTTTTGTCACTGAGTTTACAAAAATCAAAAGTCTTCGTACACTTTAACATAATTGTGATTTTCAGGGGCATGCTGGACCTAGAGGGCATCAAGGACCCAAAGGGACCAAAGGAGATCAAGTAAGCATCTGAGACATTTGTTTCCTATGTGGTTGAAGGTCAGTGGACGTTACAGTCTAGTCTAGGTACAATGAAATTCTTACCTTTTTTGTCCCAGCTGGGTGCCAGAGTATAAAATGGACAATAATAAGATAAAACCAACATGCAAAAATACATAATATTTTCTAAATTTCAGCTGTAAGGAAATGTTAACTTTGCAGCATATGTATGTATTTGTACAAGGAATGTACTATAGCTGGTATGTGCATCAGTCAGTTAAATACAGATTATAGCCTACAGATTGTGGAGATAATCCAAGTATCAGACAAAAGCGGGCTCAGCAGTTCAGAAGTCTGATTGCCGTGGGAAAGAAAAATTCCTTTAGCCTGGTAGTCCTGCATTTCGTGCTATTTCATTCAAACTGGTGGTGGGTGAGGTCTTTGATGATGGAAGTGGTTTTCCTGTGGACTCTGCGGTGGTGTGTGCCCTGCAGAGAGGCCTTGCAGTCCTGGTAATCTTTGAAGCAGTCTCAACCCTCCTCCGTATGCATTTGTGGTCTTCACTGGCGGTGGTACCAAACTCCAATGCAGCTGGTCACTTTGCACTCAATGATGGAGCCGTAGAAGTGGCAGAGGATTATGGGTGTCTTCCACAACAAGAGTTGGATGTTGTTTTAGGAGCTTTTGAACAGTTTCTCTGCCATTTTAAAATTAAATAAATGTACCAAAGTGAGAACAAATGAACTAGTTCAGTAAAGGCTGCCTTTGTGAATTGTAAAAATTTTAATTGTCTAGCCGGTCTAATAATACGGTTCTGTGCTGTCATTTTCATGTTGTTTGCTTTACACTGGTTTCAAAAATAAAATGTGTTTGTTATGCATTTGAAATCACTTTGACTTTTTTTTTAGGGTCAGAAAGGTAAAAAAGGTCAATCAGGACAAAAAGGAGTGAGAGGATCAGAGGTAAGCTGCTTTTCTGCTGGTCATCAGCTGAATTATAGACCAGACGGCATTGAAGGCATTACACTACGATTACTTTAATTACTATTAAAGTTAATATCAGTTTTTACCCATCAACTATGAACAAACTTTTCAAACAGTTATTGAATGATAAAAATGTTAAGCTAAATGGATAAGAAGCATTAATTTAGTGGTTTTATGTTCTCTTGCTAAGTCATTTTGGTGATGATCTCCATGTTTTCCTCAGGGTGGGGGTGGTCCTCCTGGTCCCAGAGGTGTGGTGGGCCCAGAGGGAAGGGAGGGGATCCCCGGTTTGGACGGAGGCGTTGGAAAAGACGGCAGTAAAGGCATTCCTGTGAGACTTCCTCATTAACGTGATAAACTGAATGTTTCATCTTCTCACATCAGTTAGGTGTTTTATAAATCTGACCGTTTTCACAAATGAACTGAAGAGGAGCAACAATTTCTCTTTTTCCTGCTGTGAGGATATCACATTATTAAAGGTGTGGAATAGGCTTGGGCGGTATCCAAATTTGAATACCATCTAACTTCCACTTAATTTTACCCCGGTATACGGTATTACCGTGAATACTTAAAAAGTATGACGTAAGCCTCAAGTGGACCTTCACCTTTCTGAATCCGAATACCAAACAATTACTAAAAAAATAGCAACGCAACTCACATACTATTAACAACATTAATTAACACAAAAACACGGCTTATAAACAAGTGCAAAGAGTCAACAGTCCAACTGCAATAAATCAACGTAAAAACCCAGGACCGCTGTTGTGCGCAAATCACGTGGACAACTTATCAACGAGCAGCATGAAACGGTGCAAATAAGCTGTAACAGTCAACAAGAGTTGAATAACCATAAACATCGAAATTATAAAAATTATTGCAACCAAAACAACTGCATTAAAATTATAAAAAGAAAACTCCGTCACACGGCCACACGCGTGCGCGCGCGCACACACACACAGGACACATTACGGCATGTTGCAGCAAATCTAGTTAAGATTTCTCGCCAGAAAAAACAGAATGTTTACTTTTTCTGGGTTCAAGTTTGCACGTTGTGGACCAACAACTTTACCTGCGTGCTGAAAACCCGCTCCGATGGTGAGCTGGTGGCAGTGGCACAATTACATAGATACCTCCGGGCCAGTCGTGACAGCTGGGGAAAACTACTGCCAGCATATTTCCACCAGAGAAGAGGGTCTTAGTCCCCTTGAATAACAGGTTCCAAACAGTACGCTGTTATTTCAGCTCCAGCTCGCTGCTCTGCGCGGCTGACGGGACCCTCCGGCGCAGCGCGTCAGCGCAGCGGCTCGTTTTTGCAGGAGAGCTCACAGAGACATCTTTTTGCGTGGGGGTTCAGGTTGTGATCGTTCCTCTATGGTTCGGATGCTTCTGGTGCTGTTTGCCCCTCTAAGCTCACGACCTCAGCCTGTAATTCAGCTTTGATTTCAGCCAGTGCGCTGTCATCAAGCTCATGTCTGCCACGGTAACGAGGATCGAGGAAAGTGCATTTTCGCATTAATTTGCGCACTGAATCAGATTCATACTTGGCCTCCAGCTTTTTTAGAATTGTGGTTTTTATTGACTTTGTAAGCTGGAGGTCGTTTTCTGACACAGCCAACACGCTCTCCCTGCAGAGCTGGAGTATGGGGAGGATAGAGGAACTGGTCAGTCGCACAGCTGTTTTTCATAACGGTATTGGAACTGACACCGTCGCTATTTTGTAATACCGCGTGTATACGGTAATACCTTAATACCGCCCAAGCCTAGTGTGGAACACTGAAAACTTATTTGGATTGATTATTTCTGATTAAAATGGGTCACGCTTAGGTTTTCATGCATGCTGAACATGAAAATAGTCTCCTACACATATCTCCTGCTTTAGCTTCTGATAGAAAACAGATGGTGAAACTCTAGGATTTGAAAATCCTCACAGATCTACGTCACAATGTTACGTAACACTCATGCAGTGTGGTTACATGCACACTGACTGACATCTAAGTCGATCCATGTCGACTTTATTGTAATAAGCCGGGAGCCTTTATCCTAATTTACATGCGCATTAGAAAACCAGCCTCTCAAATAAAGTTTCCGCAATCTCCTCACTTCTCGAACACAACTGTCCTACCGGTTTAGTTCAGCTGACCTGTTTACATGCAGGATGTAATCGGATTGCTACCGCATTATGTGGGTGCTTCAGCTCAGTTAGAACCAGTTCTCCTTCAGCCAGACTAACGTGTTTACATGCAATTAAAAAAAAACGACATGAGTATTTTTAGGGCAATACTTCGGTTTTCGGATGTGTATGTAAATGCATTGATGGACTCACCCATCTTGACTCACAACAAGGAAGGCTTTTGTTGGTTTAGCATTCAGGAATCAGCAGAGAAAATCCCGACTAGTTTAAGCTAACCATTATCATTAGTAACTCCACCACACAGCAGAACTCCTCCAGGCTTGTGTTATTTGTGGAGATTAAACAACAACGTTGCAAGGCAGTGGTAGAGTTACATTACTGTTATCCAGTCCAAGGTGAGATGTCCAAAAATCAGGAAATAAGACTCCAAAACCTGCCAACTGAAGCTCAGCTGCGATGTGAATTACTGCGAGTTCCTAGAAATAGTATATTTTTCCCCCCTAAGAACGAATTACAAGGCATTAATTCCTATTAGAGACCACTGCAATTGTATTGATTACAGAAGTGAACCACACCTTCAAACTCCTCATAATTTAACCTAAAAGTTATTTTTAATGGTTTTTTGCATGAGTGTGTGAAAATAACAAAACACGTATAAGTGGAATTTTCTAAATATTACACAATCTGATTTTACATTAAATACTGTCTCAAAATGATGAATTTATCTTCTACTTTCTCCATTTTTGCCCAGGGAAATCACGGCGATGATGGAGAGACAGGCCTTCCAGGTAAATCTGGTGCTCAGGGTAAAACCGGAGTTCCTGGACTCCCAGGAGATCAGGGAACCATTGGACCAAAGGTAGGAGAAAAATTGTCTTTACTTGATGTCAAATAACAAGACATTGCATTTGGATGATCTTGTGACAGAGTTATAGGTTCAAAGACCAACTTCCTGATGCATTGGTATGATGCTTATGTGTTTATCAGGGTGAGCAGGGCCTTCGAGGCCAGAGCGGGTCTCCAGGAAAGAGAGGTTTCAAAGGTGGAATGGGACTTCCAGGGTCACAGGGAGACCGGGGACCTAAGGGACAACCTGTGAGTGTTGGCTAGACATCAACACAGATAGTCAGGTCTTGGGTTATCAGATCTCTTGAAAAGTTTCATTTTGCAGTTTTTTACAATGACTAAACTGGAATAACGTCTTCTTTAGGGTGACGTAGGGGAACAAGGTTTTCCAGGGATTCTGGGAGTTTTTGGACCAAGGGTATGTTGATCAGAAAACAGTAATACAGCTGTTAACAAGAGAATAAAAACAAGCATGGAGATATTAAATGTGTCCACCAATCAAAGTTATTAAAACATTATTTTATTCTATATCGTAAATTTTTTTTTTACTGTCTTTGACCAACCAACGCTGTTTATTACCACTGTATTCTCTCATTTGGGTGAATAGTTGCATATATAGTCAAATAAATGAATATGCATTTTTTTTCAACATACTATATATATTTATCTTTTTTGTTTGTTTGTTTTTATTCACTTAGGTGTGCAAAGTGTGTGATGTGTGTTTATTTCTGTGGATTCCAGGGACCTCCAGGAGACTTTGGACCAAAGGGCATACGGGGACCAAAGGGGCCACAGGGATCAATGGTGGGTGACATGGTAGGTGTTGGTAGCATGTCCCACACAGGCCCTGTTTCATTTAGTCTCTTTGTGTTTCTCCATTAGGGCAGAGGAGGAGTCATTGGCCCTGTGGGAATTATAGGTCCCAGTGGAAGTGCTGTATGTGTTACAAAATAAGCTTTAAAAGTTTTCTGTTCTGCTGTTCTTCAGTAAGTTGATGGGAATGTCTCGTTACAGGGTCCTCGAGGAGAAAAAGGCCATCAGGGAGAAACAGTGAGTCTTCTCAATAAACATTTTTGAAGCTATTTTAGGTTGGGTATTTTTTGTTTTGTTTTGTTTTTATATATAAATTTTAAAATAAAGCTCTATGTCAAGATGGAACTGAATGAAAATAACTATTTGTGTTTTTCAACAGGGATTTCAAGGTCCAAGGGTATGTATAGATATGAGAATTACTTTCTTTTTGTTGGTTATAAGTTATGTATATTTTGATGTGGTCAGTTTCAAACATGTACTCTTTTTTTTTATTCTTTTTTTTTTAAATCAGGGATCCCCTGGACCCCGTGGACTACCAGGACCTCCAGTATGTCTCCCATCTTCATTTAACTCGAATGTAATTTGCAAAGTTAAAGATTTTTTGTCTAAATAACTTTTTGCCTTTCTCTCCAGGGTCCTCCAGGTGTCCCTCTGTCATTTGTAAGTTTTGTGCATTTATTTGATGAGTTCAGTAATTTAACATTTTATAGGAGAGCAGTAGCTCAGGAGGTGGAGCAAGTTGTCTAGCAATCGGAAGGTTGTAGGTTCGATCTTGACTCCTGCCTTGGGCAAGACTCTTAACCCGTCTTACCTGCTGGTGGAGGTCGGAGGGACCAGTGGCACCAGTGTATGGCAGTCTGTCCTCTGTCAGTGCGCCCCAGGGCAGCTGTGACTGCCTTGTAGCTCGTCCTCACCAACATGTGAATGGGTGGATGATTGTGTTGTAAAGCACCTTAGGGGGTTGTAAAAGGCGCTATACCAAGAAAGGCCACTAGTGTAATTTTTCTAACTGTATTAACCAACATTTTACCTCGACATTGGTTGTGCTCGTAACCATAAATGTGGTTTCTTTTGCTGCAGAAGGAAGATGGTCTGTTGTTTGATTCGCCCACCCCTCTCAGGACTAAGGTAGGTATGTTGTGACTATTTTTAATGTAATCGTGCTTTTTAATATTTTTTAACTCTGATTATCTTTGTTTATTCTCCAGTATAAACCAGTAATGGACCTGCCGATGCTAGACCAGGGCGCAGAGATCTTTAAGACCCTCCACTACCTCAGTAACTTGATCCAGAGCCTGAAGAACCCACTGGGAACACGGGATAACCCCGCCCGCATCTGCAGGGACTTGCACAGCTGTGAACAGAAGCTCAGTGATGGTAAATGAGGATGATCATTGAGCCTAATGTAAATTTATTTTCAAGCAACCTTATTAATTCTAAATGAATTTTGTTTTGGTCTTTGTATTTTCAGGGACTTATTGGATGGACCCCAATCTTGGCTGCTCATCTGATAGAATAGAAGTCACCTGCAACTTTACTGGAGGTGGACAGACTTGTGTCAAACCAGTAACAGTGTCTAAGGTGTGCAATTCACAACACACACTCAATGACTTGATCCACTGGGAAAACAAACAGTCTTGTCAAAGGCCAAGTTCACTGAGAAACCAGTTTTTATTTGTTTTTTTTTTTTAAATATGACAAGTCACTCTGAGTTTAACATGCAGGCTAAATGTAAAATTAGTCTTTTACTCCTATTTCCTGCATTATATGCTGATAGAAAATAAACAGGGAAATGATCAGATCAGAAAAGCCACTCAGGTCTACGTTACATAGAAAATTAGTATTCATGGACTCACCCATCTTGGCTTGCAATGGGGAAGGCTGTTGTTGGTTTAGCATCCAGGAAACAGCAGAGAACGTTTCGGCTAGTAGAAGCTAACTGTTAGCATTAGCAACTCCACCACATGGCAGAACTCCGGCTTGTGTTATTTGTGGAGATCAAACATCAACATGGCAAAGCGAACAGAGTCGGTGGTGGAGTTAAGCCTGATTTATGCTTCTCCGTCTGCGTCAGTGCGGAGACATGCAGCGTCCTTGCGTAGGGCTCCGGCAGGCACGCAAGTACGTACGGAGTCGAGCCCACTTTTTTAAACATCCGTCGAACGAGACGGATTACGCAAGCTTGTGATTGGTCAGGACGCCGCTGTTGTTTACAGCGCCGCCATTGCAAAGAGAGCCGAGTTTAACTAGCGGCAGACACGGAGATGCTTGAAGAATACCTCGCGAAAAAACTCTAAAAATATGAACGTTTCATCCTCCCGTGACTGGAGGAGTGAAAAGATGCGCAGCAAGAGTTTTATTTGTGGACGGAAATGATAGGAAACGTAGGTTTAGAGGTGGGGAGCGCATGAATAGATGGAGGAGAATGAGAGACAAATATGTCCGTGTTAAAAGTCTCTTATATACACAAAAACACAATATAAACACACCATCTTGGACCGATACATGACAGGATACCACAGAACAGCGCTACGCCCTCTGTTGTCCTGCCGGGCAATTGCTTTGCAACACTCTCCAGGAGACGGAGAAGTAAAAGAGCAAAACGCTTCCGTCAATCCGTGCGTGTCTGTCCCTTGCGGAGCTGACGGAGAAGCATAAACTAGGCTTTACTGTTGCAGTCAGAGGCTATGTGTCCAAATGTCAGGAAACAAGATTCCAGATCCTGCTGTTTTCTGCTTCTCTCTGCTCTGGCTTGCTTCTAGCTCCTGAAACAGAAGCGCCAGCGCCCCCACCCACCCCACCCACCCACAGAGATCTATTCAAAAACAACTGCAAATGTGTTTTAAAATGCAAATGACCTTTGTTTTTAATCACCTCACCTTTCGCAGCCAACTGTGACTGTTGGTCGAGTCCAGATGAACTTCCTGCACCTTCTGAGCTCAGAAGCCGTTCAACACATCATCATCCATTGTTTGAACGTCTCGGTTTGGACGTCATCTGAAGATCTTGAGGATGAGCGGGAGTCTGTGAGGTTCAAAGCATGGACCGGGGAGGTGTTTGAAAAGGGAGGAGAACTCGAGCCAGATGTTTTAGAAGATTCCTGCTGGGTAGGATTAAGATGCTTTAATCTAATCTTTCAGATTAGATTTGATGTTTTCATACATCACAAGCTCTTGGCCTAAATCTTTTATTTCATTCCTCACTTTGCAAATTTGTGTTTTCAGATAAAAGATGGCCGCTGGCACCAGACTCATTTTGTCTTCCACTCCCTGGACCCCACCTTGCTCCCTGTGGTTAACATCTACAACCTTCCAAAAAATTCCCCTAGTTCACGGTACCACCTAGAAGTAGGTCCAGTTTGCTTCCTGTGAAGACCATGGTGCTCTGAGCAGAAAGGGGATGGACAAGCCACCCGTACGAGACATAATCATGTAGCTGTGGAAACCAGAGCAGCTGTGTAATCACTTCCTGTCCAAGTGAAGAAATAAAGATCCCCTTCAAGCAGATGGAGCTTCACTACCAAACTCCCACTGGACTGCATTCGCAAAAGGGAGGAAGCATAGGGAGTAAAGGGGGAAATACGGGAGCTAGAAAGAAGCAAGAGAGTTCTTGCACTAATGGCTTCTCGGTACGGCAAAAGCTTCTCCAAACTTGTTATGGTGGATCTCCTCTGCTGGGAGACATAAGGCCACACAACGTCTCCAGAACATTGTCAGGTGAAGGGAGACCAGGCCGTATACAGCAGTGAACATTTATAGTAACTTATTTTTGCAACTGTATACATCCTGTATACCGTGCGTAATTTTCTGACATTCAATTCTGTCGGAGGAGAAAATTGAAGTAAATGGGACCTTGTAAATATAGATATATATTTATATGCTCTATTATTGATTTTTATACATGTATATCTTATGTAAAGAAATAATCTTTAAGTGCAATAGAAGATGAAAAGATAGTCCTGTATTTGGAACTTGGAAGGATTTTTCAGGAGTACCATTTTATTTGTTTTTGGAGCTCATCTCTTCATAATCTCACACAGATAATGTCTATTATTATTATTATTATTATTATTATTATTATTATTATTATTATTATTATTATTATACAAATCATTTTTCCAATGTCCTTCTTGATGAAGGTAAATCAGTGACATTTTTAAGATCTCCACAGAAACCACACACTGAAGCAAGCGTCTTGACCGATTGCTGTCATTATTCCTCACTGATTATTAAATGAAATGCCACTGACGATTAGTAAGATTTAGGAGACAAAGTGTCATATTGAGTAAGAACAAAAGTGGAGTTCTCAGTTTTACTAAATCTTCCAACTGTTGATTATAAAGATTTATTGCTTATTGGTTTATAATCAAACCTGGAGGAGTAGTTCATACTGAAAACCAGCTGATTTTACAGCAAACAGACCACAGGTTCTGGTAACATAAGTGATTGTTTTATGATTATCGGCTGTGCGGCGCTTTGGTCAGCTCACATGCTGTGTTAAGTGCGCTATATCAAATAAAATGGTATAATATGGTAACATTGGGGAGAGAACTGAACCATAACCGGCTCTCCCATGTTTCCTCTTATATGGTGCTAAATAACATTTCCAAGGTGCTAACCGCAGTGCTGATTTTACACCACTTTTTGCTAAATAAATCAAATGCTCATGTTCTATTATGGCTTGGATAAAAAAAATGTGTGTATATAAAATATTACTATTCCTTCCATGTTAATTACGCATGAAATAATTTAAATAATGTCTTGATTATTTAAATCTGTTTTTATCTGTTGCTGCATTTTGGGAGTCTGTTTCATCAAAACACAACTAAAATATAAATATTAACATATGTAAGAAAACTGATTCCTGTTTTTATATCAAGTATAAACTACAGGGTCTAAAGTATTTCTAAGAATAGAATTATTTGCATATGTACAAAAGCCCACTGAGCTGTATGTAATTTTATTAGAAAATAGTAAAGATAGTTTTTATTAAAAATGTTAACAAAAAATTTAAGAATAAACAATGTTTTGTTGTAGCTGGAAAAAAGTGTGTATAATTTTGTAACTCTTGCTGTACACAGTAAATCCCCTCTTGCTAATTTAATGTTATTTAATGTTATTAATGTGGTTGCAGACTGAGCAAATTTCTAGTCGTCAAGCCAAAACTCTGACAACGTTTTGTATCAGTTGTCCCAACTGGTCTTGGAGTTTATAGATTTCTGTTTATGTGTAAATTTGGGGCTTTGCAGAACAAATTTATTTCAATATATTGTCTTTTATTTTTTAAAAATATTTCATGTTCTTCTTTTTATGATAATCAACCATGTACTGTACGAGGGCTGTTATACAACATGTTTTTAATGAATTACGCAAATATGTGAAAAATAATTTCTTCTTTTTTTTCTTTGAAATAAGTTAAGAATACCTCATAATTTTACATGAGACTTAGAGCAAAGATGTTCTGTTGCATATATTATTAAAATCTGTTTTAAAACAATTATCAGCCAAATGCAGCAAGTCATTCAACTCTGATTATTTCTGGTGCATTCATTCTTACCTTCGTAATTGTTCAGTGTCAATTTGTTCAATAAAAACATATAATTTGTGTGTGCTTTTGTTTATTTTATTACACTAAACACTCCCAACTGCAATATTTGATGTGAAATAAAAATAAAACAGCATTATTTCAGCTGAAGGTAAAGAAACATCCAAATACTTCTCTGTGTTAAATATGAAAAAAGATAACATGGGTGCTGTGTCTGTAGTGATGCAGCCGTTGTACCGGTCTGTCGAGGAGAGAGCTGAGTCAGAAGGCAAAGCTCTCGATTTACCGGTCGATTCGTTTCGACCCTCGCCTATGGTCACGAGCTTTGGGTAGTGACCGAAAGAACGAGATCACGGAAGGGCTGTTAGACATGTTTTTAAGAAATTATGCAAATATGTGAAAAAAAAATTCTTTCAAACAAGTTAAGAATACCTCATAATTTTACATGAGAGTATGAGATTGTGGATACAAGTGGCCAAAATTAGTTTTCTACGCAGGGTAACTGGGCTCTCCCTTAGAGATAGGGTGAGAAGCTCGGCCATCCGGGAGGGGCTCGGAGTAGACCCGCTGCTCCTCCACATTAAAAGGAGCCATCTGAGGTGGCTCTGACAAAGTATGCCTCCCTGGTGAGGTTTTCTGGGCACGTCTAAACGGGTGAAGACCTAAAGGGAGACCCAGGACATGCTGGAGGGACTGTGTCTCACGGCTGGCCAGGGAACGCCTTTGGATTGCCCCGGAGGAGCTGGCCCAAAGTGGCTGGGGAGAGGGAATTCTGGGCCTCCCTGCTTAGGCATCTTGACCAAAAATGAATGGATGGAATTAGTTTTTTGTTACTCAGCTGACAACTATGATGAACCTATGCCTGCAGAAGCTTGTGCCATCTGCAATATCCAATTGCAGCATCTGTTTTGCTGGAATTATACATAAAATACTGCTAGAATGTGAGCCATGAAAAAACGTGACAACAAATAATGAGGTGTAGGGTCTATGACCTATTTACATTTATGTTCCTAACTGCAACATATGCAGTCGCTTAAAGTGATCTTCTTTTTGGGTGTGAGAAGGGAATATTTCCATTGTGATCCACCCTTAGTTTAGAGAATTATTGCCTTTGGATGAGAGCATACACTCAGAAAATTCCCAAACTATTTCGTTCGATGATCTAATCAGTGTCTGGTGGAGGAAAAATGCTGCATTCTACTTGAAGGGGACTGCTGCAATTTCTTCGTTTGTCCTGAAGTTCAGAGTTACACCACAAGATGTCACTGTTGACTCGTGATATTTTTCAAAGCAACTGGATGAAACAATTGTTTATCCCAAAAAGAGGGATCTGTTTCGCGATGGCAGCTCCTTACTGAACCAGGTCATTAACTTTTCAAAGTGTCAATTATGCTTCACACCCTTTTTATTTTGAAAGTTGTACTCAACGTTTTGATGAATAAGCAGGCCTACATAATCAGTTTTAGAGCTTGCTACATACATAGACATGTTTATTTTTTAAACATATTTAATTGACAAAACTTTACAACAGCGTAAATTCCTACCCTTGTGTTTTTGACCTCGGCAGAAACAATCCAGACGAGCAGTTTCGGAACAGTGCTATTTTAAAATTGTTTATTTTTACTGACATTTCACGTGATCAAAGACATTAATGTAACACGAGGGTGGATGTTTACTAAAAGAAATTCTTTTAAATGACAGCGTTGGTATTTTTGAGATTATGGCCCACTCTTGCGTATTTGGTTTGGCCAATCACTTCTTGTCAGCCTCCACCCAGCTTGATGATGCCTTTGCTGGCACTCAAACTTTTTAGCATTTGAGTTCCAGTACGTATATTTTGCACTAAAATCTACTATAAACAAACAATAAATTGATAGTAAACATATCTCAAAGCAACAATTTGATAATGTTTTAAATATGGATCACTTTATTAAGTCGTTTAAATGGTTTTGTTTAAAACGTTATCATAAAGTCGTACATCACTTGAACGCAGCACCAGTTTTCTACGTTCACAATGGTGACGTTAACATAGCATAATGGCGGTAGCCTGAACTATTTTGAATTTTGCCCCGCTATTCCAAGCTTACGCTGCTTTTTGGTAGGAAAATGACCTTTTAGTGAGACCCAGATTTAAAAGGAGCTACTATGATGGATTCTGTCGTTGGAAACGACTTGACCCTCCCTGTTGATATCAACGGAAGGTAAAAAAACAAAACAAAAAAAAGCATCGCGAGCTAGGACTAGCTAGCGTGTTAGAGCCCTGTTGTTGCTGCATGTCCAAATTTAAAACAAATAGTAGAGTTATTACTTTAGAATAAACCTTAGATTTTGTACAGCAAATTTTAAGTTGTTTGCTGCATGTTGCTGAATCAAACTGCTGATCTAAATTGTGGTTTCAACGTTATGTTTATTGTGATATTTGGCAACGTATCTATGTCAATATCGCTTCAGCCATTTCAAATAAGTTCAATGTTCACTTGGGGGAAACCTTAAATGGCACGTAGTAAGTTGCGTTTATGTGTCTAATTCAGAAACTTTTAAACCTCTTATTACACATAATATGCACCCTATAGCTTGTAGGTGAATGATAGCTTTATAAACACTCATTGTTTCGAGTACTGTAACCTAAGTCAACTAATTGGATGTTGCTGTGAGATATCACTGCGATTTGTAGATTGGCTTGTGGAGCTGTTAGTCAGAGTGTATTACAGCGGAAATCATATGAGCCAATGGGTTCAGGCTGTAGCTGCGACGTCTCTGCTGTCTTTGAACAAGAGGAGTAGTTATAACATGCTGCATTTGTTTTTCACTGCGTGCTCTCTTTGACATGAGAGAAGAATGTGATTTTGGGGTAGGTGAGGTTTACATTACTATTAACTTTAGTCCCAACTGTGCTGTTGCTAGATATAGCTAGTATGTAGCTTTTTCTCTTCCTCCCAATGTGCTTCTTATAGCATATCTGCTGTTTAGTGGTTAGTATGCTCTTGTTCTCAAATGATATGGCCCAGCTGTGTAGTGTGAAAAAGAAGTCATCCAGGTGGTAAGTGTGCTTTAGAAACCCAAGATGTTAACTGATATGTGGGTTGTGATTTATTTATTGGGTATTTCTGATACCTGACTCGCTTAACTCTTTTAGTTATTTTTTTTAATATGATATTTGTGCTGGTGGTTTATGCAATTTTCATCCCTGCCTTTACTTTTTCATTTTGTTTGATGTAAGCGATGTGCGCTTGGTTAGATTCATGTTTGACAGTAGCTGATGGGTAGACAGAGAAAAAGAGGAAGTTACTGTTTACACACTGTTGCAGTGTTTCCATTTCATGATGGAGGGGTTATTTTATCCGCAGCGCTGACAAAATGTTGATAACCGATGCAGGGCCAGTTGTTTAGATCCCTTTCTTAGATCATTTGAATCAAATGCTGTATTAATGGTTGGTGTTTTGCTGATTTTGCTGGTTTTGTTTCAGAGTTTTGCCTCTTCGTGTACACAGGAAGAAGTTGCTTAGCATGTGAACCCTCTGTGATGCAATAATTGTGAGCACAGAGTTGTTATCCTTTACTGTCTTGTGGAGAGATGTGTACTTGAGGTACTTTTCACTTTAAAACAACCAGAATTGTTAAAAAAAAGAACTAAAGATTGTTTGTCCACTGATTCTTTAAGCTAACATTGTCATTTCTTGTCAATGAAGCGTGCTGTTTATTGTTTAACTTTTGCTGTGTTTGCTCAGTGTCAAAGCAGAACAGAAATGGGGAAATGTATCATTGTGTTTATCAAAGACATGATATTTGTAAAGCTGAGAAAGGCTGGGAAAGAATCTGAATGGGAGAAAATGCATTAAGTGTATTTGTCTGACTCATTTAGCTTCTCAAATTGAATAATTAAGAAAACAGCTCATTTAAAATCAGTTTGAATGACAACATGACAAAAAGTATGATTTGCTCTTTCTAACATATGATTTGCTCAGTTTATCTTCAGGAGAATTTCATTGCTCTGTTATAGTAACTTTTTAAATTATCTTATACGAAGTCGTTGTCCTTCTGAAGCTGTAAAATCTCACTTGGAATTAAACCAAGGTAATTGTCCAGTCATTGACACTGGGATTACGGGAGGAACTTATTCAGTTCTCTGTATTGTCAGACACAAAGGTCATGGAGATGGACACTTGGATGTTCCACATGGTTCTTTTATTTCCCTTTAACTCAAAATAAATATTAAAAAAAGCATCACTATGTGCTAGTAAAAGAAAACTGCATATCTGGGGCAGCAGCAGCTCAACAGGTTGAGCGGGTTGTCCAGTAATCGGAAGGTTGCAGGTTCGATCCCGGCTCCAGACAGAGAATTCTGCTGTTGTGTCCTTGGGCAAGACACTTAACACACCTTGCCTGCTGGTGGTAGTCGGAGGAACTGGTGGCGCCTGTGCTCGGCAGCCTCGCCTCTGTCAGTGCGCCCCAGGGCAGCTGTGGCTACATTGTAGCTCATCACCATCAGTGTGTGAATGTGTGTGAATGGATGAATGATACACTGTAGTGTAAAGCGCTTTGGAGTCCTTACTCTGAGAGGCGCTATACAAGTGCGGGTCATTTATCATTTTATCATTTATCATCTGCTCTCTTGTTGCTGCTGCTTTCTGAAGTGATGCTGTGATCCAGATGTGTGTTGTTGTTTTGTGCATCGTACTTGTGAGAACCACCAGTCTCTTTACATAGTGATGCTTAGCTGTTCCCGAGTCACAGTACCCTGCTTGTCTTGCAGTGAAAGCTCTTTCCAATCTCCGTTGTCTGTTTTTCTCTCCCTCTCTTGACTGTCTGAACACGTAAGCTCAGCAGCCACTGGCACATAGTGTCTCACACACACACACACACACACACACACACACACACACACACACACACACAGAGGTAAACACACATGATATTTTTCAAGGTTTTTGACATTAACATCAAGCATTCCTCAGTCCTCAAGCCTAACTCTAACAATCACAGTTAAAGGTCTTGCCTAAGTCTAATTTCATCTATAAAATCAAGTCTTGATGGATTTCAGCAGATTGGTCCCAAAAATA